TACCTGCAATCCTTACGTGCACCGTTATGGCCGTCGCGACTAATCGTTTTTCCGACGGACTTTTACGTGTGTTCAAGAACTACCGTGAATCAAGAACTAGGGAAGTTAAACAATCAACGGCTCCTTCCGCAGGAGTCTGAACAGTCGCGACTGCCGCCATGACGGTGCACAAAGGTAAAATTGCAATGTTCATTTAATAAATCATATCTTAAATTAAATGTTATAAATAATGCGTTATAATGATTAAAATTCATATTAATTTGTTGTGTTTACTGTATTTAGGGATTGTGTCCTTTTTATTTTGATGAGTGTTGGATGGGTTTCCTAGTAAAGCAGGTATTAATATGGTCAGATAAACCAACTGACGACATGGTCCGTTTTCAAATAAAATGGGCTGTTGTTGGTTTGGTTATCTGGCTATGTTAAAGCCACTTTGCAACGTAATGCACCTGTCGCTCGTTACCTAGTCCCATAGTTGGCCGGATGGGCAAGTGGTCGAGGTGGCATCTTACCTCTCCAGGGGACTCAGGATTGAATCCGGACAGGTTGAAAAAGCCCCTGGAATTTTTTGGGTGTTGGTTCGCCCAGACGCGTCGGGCCGGGACCTTTGACACTGGGTCGAATAGGCTAAAAGAGGCTCTCTTAGTGTCCATAGAGTGGAAAGACTTAAAATACCTAGTCCAGGGATGGTGTACAGTATTTCTGGCCTCTTCTGACTTCTAGATTTATCCTGAATCTTATAATATAATCGAGATGGGTTGATAATGATAAAATTATTATTATTATTATTATTATTAACATTAAGATCAGAGTCCAAACGGTTAGGAGTTGAAAATTGAAATTTAGTACACAGTTAGCTATGCCATGAGAATGTAGACAAAGAACAGACTTTCTGAAATTTCCCCTGCAGAGGAGAGGGAGAGGGTAAAGGATTACTCAGACTTCTGATTTTACTGTACTATCTTAAATGTGGTTTTTTTGAGAAATTGAAGATGTTTTCAGACCCATCTAAAAATTCTCTAATTAGTCTTGGAAGAGGGTGAACCTAATTCTTGCACCTGGTAAAAAAGGGGATAATCTAATAATCTTAATTTTTGCTATCGTTACTTTTTGCCTGAACAACACCGGGCTCATCTGCTAGTCATTTTAAAGTTGAATTTTACTCTCATGAATTAATACTTATGGAAATATGTTTTCATTTTCTTTTTTCCTCATTGGTGTTGATCTGTATGTATATATTGAGGGTGCAATGACAATGACTAAGAGAAACTTCTCATCCTTGGGTTTTGATTGGCTATAAAAATCAAGTGTACTTACTGTGTACAATATACTTTTCTACTGCTAATTTTTGTAGGCTGGCTAAATCCATGAATGACCATTTAAGGTTACGATTTAGTTTGAGATTAATTTGTACGACTACTATTTTTTTCCTTGTTAATTGTAACTTGCATGCATGCTCAAAGTATATCTTTTTACGGAAAGATGACAGTCTAAAAATATCTCTGTCTGAAAATTAAGTATTATCTTATCTGGACATTTGCTGGTTGACTTACTCTAGTATGGTGTAAAATAAAAATGTCTTTGAGGGAAATTTTCTGGTACAAAAATATTAGGGGATATATGCCTTCTGTCCCTTTATTGAAAAAGAGTGCGAGTACTGTACCTATCCATAAAGACATCTAACAAGTAAGTACAATTTATGTACAGGGTGAGCATAATTAAAGAGTGGATGTTCTATCAATGAAAAAGCAATGCCTGATTGGCATTTAAGAGATTTACCAAGAGGCTCCTGACTATTGGGAATCTTGGGAAAGTGGTTTTGCATTTTGAAGGGACTTTTGTTATGAAACCAGGATAGAGTTGTGAACTGATTGGGCATTTGAAAATGGAAGACATTGCTACTGCAGTAGTGGAGCATGGAATAGAAAATTCTTGTGGCAGCAGTAATAAATCTGCAGTATCATAGCAATGACAATGTGGAAAGCTCTGCAAAAAATCTTGCATTTTTATCTACACAGGATATCCCTCAGTCAAGAATTGGGCTCACTTCTGATAATTATGATGAGTGGGAAACATTTGCCATGACATTTTTAGCTCAAATGATGGTTAATGACGCATGGCTCTGACAAATTATGTGGAGCAATGTGAATCATTTTTATTTGCAGAGCTGGCTGGAGGTTTTATGGTGCCTTGGGAAAAGTTACTAATGGGCCTCCAAAATATTTACAATATTGGAAATATAGGATTTATTATTTGCCAGTGATTTATATTATTACCAGTACCAGTAAAGATGAAAGGACAAAGAATAAATGTATATTTAATTCAAATAGTTTCCGTATATATCAGTGTTTTTCGACCTGTGGGTTGCGACCCCCTGGGGGGTCGTGAAGCCTTACACGGGGATTGCGGGTAAAAGAAAAAGACAAGTATTTGTAGGTCCTACACTACATTAAAAAACTACAATATCAGCAAGAAGGCTGTACCTGTTTATTTTACAGTACAATTGGTTTTTTTTTATCGATATGTAGGTCTCAACCATGGGTGTTGCCAGGGAGGGGCGTGGGTGGGTAAGAAAATCCACTCCAGAAAATCATAGCCATAAAAGTGTTGAGCTGATTTGCAGAAAGAAATAGGAAAAGTAGAAGCTGAAAATTCTGATCCTAAACAAACAGAAAAAAAAGGTCAATAGCACCCTGTGCCCAATGTTATAATTAAAGGAAGTTTCATACTTTATGTGTGTTAAGTTATTGTCGATTCTTCTGAAATTTTCATTTTAATCAACAATAATTTGTCTCAACATAAAGAAAATTAAATACATAGTTTTTAAAATCGCTGATATAGTTTTAATATGGCCCTAGGGGGTCGCCAGAATTTTTTAACTTGTAAAGGGGTCGCGTATTCAAGAAGGTTGAAAAACACTGATATATATGATCTCTGAACATCAAAAATTCTACTGGCAAATTTTCTTAGAAATTTGAAAATGTAGGGTCCCTCTAAGTGTGGAGGGAGCCTTGTTCTGAGGCTCAAAAATTTACCTCTGAGCTGGTTTTGTTTATTTTCATGATGATTTGTCTGGAGAGGATCCACCATTTACGAACAAATTTCATAGTAACCATCACACAAATTTAATCAAAATGCATTTACCAGCGAAACAAATTCCATTGCACTAACCAAAGGCAATGATGTGATGGTAATATCCTTCATCATTTGAAGAAAACTATGCATCTCCGCCAGTAAAATGTTCTGTTAATGTTATTAGATATGGAGATGTTCCAGAACTTCCTTCTTTCATTTCATCTCTGTAGCAGAGAAATTGCTTGCTCACCAAAATCTTTATGCAAGATGGTGCTCTCCCATATATCAACTTAAAAGTGCAATCCCTATTGCAACAACACTTTTTGCATGAGAGAGTAATTAGTTGATCATTTCCAATATCATTGCTACTACAATCACCAGGGTCATGTTCAGTAACACAGAATATTAAGAAATCTAATTGGCTAGGAAGGCTGAGCTAAGTGTTCTGAGTATGTTTTGAATAGTGTTGTAATTGTAGGGTAGTTAGAATTGTAGCAGTGGGAGGAGTCAAGAAATAGCTAGAAATGAGTTCAGCATTGCAGTGCAATTATATTAGAAAGAATTCTGCAATATTGAACACAACTCAGATCTGAACCCTGCAACTTTTGGTTAAGAGGCTAAAGAGGCACTTGTTTATCAAGCCAATGTTTCCATTCTGCCTATTTGAAAAGAGAATTTCAAAACACAACAATTGGATGCTGTTTAGTTATGTTCTGACATCAAGTGTGTCATGCAGTAAATATTGTTTTTAGAGTATACAGGCTTTATCTTCAGGCAAATTGGCATGTAGAGTTTTATCTTTGATGTAATCACCAATTCCATAATCCACGTATGCAATTGAAATAAAATTATTACACTCTGTTATTTAAATTCCAAAATCTGTTAGAAAATGTACAAAACATGCACATTACAGGGACAGCAGCTCCAAACTTTGTCCTAGCAACTGAATTTTTGAAGTAAAACTTTTACTCAAAAGTTGAAACCATACACTCAGGACAGTATGTATACCAAATTTTGTTGAGATTTTCCAAATAGTTCTTTCTAGAGTGTTCTGAATACTTAATATGCAGAGAGATTATAAAGATTATTAATGCATGTATCCTAAATGTATACACTCATTCAACCTCAGTACATAGTGTGGCATTACAAGATCTTTCTGAAATAGGATGTGGCTTTCTGATTAAAAATAATTTTTCCATTTCTGATCATTTCAAATATCCAAAAATTAAGTTGCTGTTTTACCCAGTCCCACAATAGGGTGGCTGCATGGTGAGAGATGGGTTTACCTGCTTGGATTCAATCCTGGTCTCCCAGAGTGGTAGGTAGACAAGTCACAATATCTACCAGCACATAAAGAAGATAACTGTTCTTGGTTGCTTGCTTTACTGTATGTATTTTCTTAGCATAAGGTTGCCATTGAGAACAGATCACACAGGAACACTTTTAGTGGAAAAAATAACAATAAACCGACCTTTTTCCACTAAAAGTGTTCCTGTGTGATTTGTTCTCAATGGCAAACTTATGCTAAGAAAATACGTGAGAACTGCTTCTGCTCTTATACTGTAGCTATGCTTTGACCTTGGTCAAACATAGCATTAGATCAACAAATAGGATATTGTTTACCAACATAAATAATAATAATCTTTATCTTTAGACAGTCTGCATCTACTTTTCAACTGAAATTAATTTGTAATAGTGGGCTCATGAAATACATTTGCCTATAAACTATTCATTTAAAATTGGAATTTTCGTGTCAATTCTTTAACAATTTAGAGGGAAAAATTGAAGTATTGTATTTTAAATACTAAATTAATTAATAACTATGTTTTTTTTTTCTATAATGTGTGTATCTATGTTCTATTTTATGTTATTTTATACTATATTTTATACAGGAAAACTAATTAAAATTATTATTAAAATTATAGGAATTGTTGAGTGTGGCATCTGAAAAGTTATTCCATCTTACAAAAAGAAGAGCATATTTTAGAGAAGTTACTTTTCTCATTCCTAGTTCGTGGGATGATTTGGTACCTTGGATACCAAAAGGAGAAACAGTTAGTATAGCAAATGAAGAAAAATATAAAGATGCCACTATATACGTTGAAAGAGGTGGTGCTTTTGGTAAAACACCATATGCAATTCAAACAGGTGGATGTAAGAAAGAAGGATTAAGAATACATTTACCACTTGAACTTTTAGATAGTTATAACAAAAGGCTTCTTAAAATTAATGATGATAATACACAAGAAGAAGGTAAGTTCTTTAACACTTGCATTATGGAATTATGTGTCTACTTAGAATTACTGATCTTAGCAAATTTATAGATTTTTACATTTTGAGAATTAGAAATAAAATCTTAAATGCTCTTATTTGAAAAAAAATGATGAATATTACTTGCTACAAAACTAGCAAGTAAAAGTCATCATTTTAATTCGCATATGTTATATGACTTTATTATTCTTATTCCATTGTGAACTTTTATTGGTCACAAAATAATACAGAAAATAGTTAACAATAACTTTTTTAATTTTGATATTTTTGTGCACATTTGTTACATATAGTAACTTGTAGTTTCAGATTCCCAAGCAGGTTCTGCAGATGGACTCTGAACAAACATTGCATATCTCCACAATTTTATTGCATTTACAGGATCCTATCTGACACTTTTTTCTTTTCCTAGGTAGTCCTCTCATAACTCTTTGCACAGTTGGGTAATGAATTTTCTGTGAAGAGACATCTTTTTATCCAGACTTTGCACTATAGAATCCTGGCATTTATTGCAGGTTCAGTACTTTGAAGATGATGTGTATTAGCTATTTAATTGAGCTCAATTTCAGAGTATTTTTGGGCCGTTTGGTCAAGTGTGTCCACCCTGTATTTCATTTCGTTATAGAATCGGACAGTTTTGGGAATTTTCTTTTCATTGTCTTTGATCTAAATCTTTGCATGTAAAATGCTTATAATCAGAACAATTTTGTTCTTCTGGTAAATTGTCATTGTTACGTCCTCAATATTTGATTAAGAGTTGTTGAGTATTGCACCTACCAAGATTTTTTGCCCATGTTAACATTTCTTTCCTGGCATAATTCACGATACCAACTAGACTAGTTTTATTGGCTTTTAATTTTTCTGCATCTTTAACATAGTAAAGTTGTCCATTGTAATGTCTTTGGCTTTGCCTAGATATGCCATCTTGAGATGAAGAAAAATGTTTTCTCAGACCTTTGTCTGAAAGATGGTGGTCATCTTTTTCTCTGTATGGGATTCTGTTTACAAGATATTTGAAATGCACATCAAATACTAGTCAAAATTTGATGCCTAACTTGTCTGGCTCGTTCACCATGTATTATGTAAAAGGATATCTGGCTTTATTTAGGAAAAGTTGTTCATCATGCAATTCTCAATGAATAAGCATTTGTTTTTGGATGATACTGCATTGAAATATATTGTGACTCCAATGAGCATGACAGTGTTACCCTTTATAACGGAAACAAAAATAAAAATCTATAGGGGTCAATATGACCCTGTCCCATAATTCTATGTAGCCAAGTTCCTTAGTCTGGAACCAAATAAGCAATAAGTCTGAAAATTGGTCTATTATGTATGTCAGGCCTGGCCAACTTACAATGGGGTGTGATTGACTTTCACAAGTTAAAAACACCAATGATCTACTTCACATCTGTTTTTCTGTAATAGCTTAATAAGCTATCCTAACAAAATTATTCTTCAAAACATATTTATTTATTGCACAGTAATTAATATTCCAGATTATCTTTTTTTGATAAATACACTAAACATAAATTAAATGACATCTTTTATTTTTTTGTCACAAAAATAAATTTTGCTCCTCTTTGGCTCACTCATTTTGCACTTAACTAAAATTGCATATGGTTCCTAGTAACAACCTTTGACACAGAGTACTTTTTTATATCCACTATGTTATCTTATGGAGCATAACCAATTCATAGCAAATAGTTCACATTTTTCACAGTTAAATCATTTGATTTAATACTCCTTCCAAAATGTAATTTTGGTAGTAGTATTAAGTCAAATGATTTTCACATTTTAATGGAGTCATTCTTTTGATCGTAATTGACTTTTTGGCCATTTTTGGTATATGTGATAAGAATTAAAACACTAAAAGTCATAATATTTCAGATATTACAAAAAAAAGAGGCAGTACGAACTATGACAGTTGCTTACAGATCAAAATAATTCCTTCTGTAATTCTAGTGTTAAAGCAAAAATAAAATGATTTCTTATTTATAAATAAGTCTGTCTACTCATTTTAATACTTAAGGACTATATAATTTTTGTTTATTCATATTCCAATGTTTATCTTACAGTAAGGGTTGGTATGTTCTGATCTGCAAAATTTTACCAGATTTTCCATTTTTACTAAGACACTTTCATTGATAAGCCATATCAAGAAATTATCTATTTAAACTAAGATAAATTTTAGTGTTTAAATGAGGGCTAAATTACATTTTTAAATAGTATATAATGTTTAATAAACAATCTCAAACTTAATTCATTGTATTTAGCTTTGAGTTTTATACTAAAAATTTGTAGATATTGACCTATAGGTTTCTCTGTGACTTCTCTTAAATATGGATATAATGTTAAGACAATTCCTTTCTAGAGAACTTATCTGCATCTGAAAATTGTGTTTTTGTTCTCAGTGGTGCACTTGAGATTTAATCTTGGGAGAGCAGAGTTGAATGGATAAAAAAATTTTTAATGCAAATTCAATAAAATTCTTGTCTTATGTGACCACTATCCCCTGGGTGTGCCACTGCCTGTTCTGTAGTGAGTAGTGAAATGATCTTTTCACTACTCACTATAGAATCTCTTTCCAGATATAGAATCTATACTATAGATCTCTTTCCAGGATACTACATAATTCCAGACCTCTCTAATTAAGAAGAAAAATATGGTTCCTATATCTGCTTCTACTTTATTAATCAGGAATAACAACAATAATAGGCATAATAGGATATATACAAGCCTTTATGTACTTTCTTGCAGATAACCTGTGGATTATCTACCATATTTACTGAAATGAAAGATGCACTTTTTTTGTTTCATTAGATAAAAGATATTGACAATCTGATGTAATAATAGTTTTAGTATTTTCTAAAAATAAAAAAATTATACAAATTCNTGTCCACAGGGCGGAAATAGTTAAAAACATTAAAAGGGAAAATAAATATGATATTGTACTGTAATTCGTGTCGGGAGTCAAAAACTTTACTGTATTTTGACATCCAGTGTAAAACTTTCACACATGCAACTTAAAACATATTTTAATAATTAATTAGGGTTATATTACTTTCCCGGTTCTTATAACAGAGAGAAAGTATGGCGATCCGGCAAAAAATGATCCCCCCAGATTTTTACATCTTTTGACTCTGACTTTTTAACTCTTTCCGCCTTGGGGGCACTAGGAGAGCCTCTTTTAGCAAGCCCATTACAAGTTCGGCCAGGCCCAACATGGGGCGGCCGGGTGGTGAGGGACGGGGCCCGACAAATCCGAACGGACCACTCCCGAAAAATTCCTGGGGATTTTTCGACCGTCTGGATTCGATCCCGGTCTCCCAGAGCAGTAGGCTGCCACCTTGACCGCTTGACCATCCGGCGTCACATTTTTTGGATTCGCGACAGTCGGACTTACGATGATTTTACTGGTTATTATCATTTACAACTTCTTATAATACCCATCCCTATCCTCGAAATTAAACCTTTTTATATTTTTAATTACAGGTAGCCCTCGGTTTACGCCGGTTCAATTTACGCCGATTCGCAGTAACGCCGCTGCGCAATTCGCCGTTTCGCGGTGTAATTCCCCGATTTTCCCTATGCTAGACTGATTTTCATTTCAGTGTTGACGTATTTACCGAGCCGCGACATTGTACATTCGTTAAAACAAAGATTTTTATTAAATATATTTATTTTTTCTGTTTNACTAAAAGTCATAATATTTCAGATATTACAAAAAAAAGAGGCAGTACGAACTATGACAGTTGCTTACAGATCAAAATAATTCCTTCTGTAATTCTAGTGTTAAAGCAAAAATAAAATGATTTCTTATTTATAAATAAGTCTGTCTACTCATTTTAATACTTAAGGACTATATAATTTTTGTTTATTCATATTCCAATGTTTATCTTACAGTAAGGGTTGGTATGTTCTGATCTGCAAAATTTTACCAGATTTTCCATTTTTACTAAGACACTTTCATTGATAAGCCATATCAAGAAATTATCTATTTAAACTAAGATAAATTTTAGTGTTTAAATGAGGGCTAAATTACATTTTTAAATAGTATATAATGTTTAATAAACAATCTCAAACTTAATTCATTGTATTTAGCTTTGAGTTTTATACTAAAAATTTGTAGATATTGACCTATAGGTTTCTCTGTGACTTCTCTTAAATATGGATATAATGTTAAGACAATTCCTTTCTAGAGAACTTATCTGCATCTGAAAATTGTGTTTTTGTTCTCAGTGGTGCACTTGAGATTTAATCTTGGGAGAGCAGAGTTGAATGGATAAAAAAATTTTTAATGCAAATTCAATAAAATTCTTGTCTTATGTGACCACTATCCCCTGGGTGTGCCACTGCCTGTTCTATAGTGAGTAGTGAAATGATCTTTTCACTACTCACTATAGAATCTCTTTCCAGATATAGAATCTATACTATAGATCTCTTTCCAGGATACTACATAATTCCAGACCTCTCTAATTAAGAAGAAAAATATGGTTCCTATATCTGCTTCTACTTTATTAATCAGGAATAACAACAATAATAGGCATAATAGGATATATACAAGCCTTTATGTACTTTCTTGCAGATAACCTGTGGATTATCTACCATATTTACTGAAATGAAAGATGCACTTTTTTTGTTTCATTAGATAAAAGATATTGACAATCTGATGTAATAATAGTTTTAGTATTTTCTAAAAATAAAAAAATTATACAAATTCTCTAATATGCATAGGTATAATTGTAATAATGAGTATGAAAAACTTGCTTTATTTAATAATATATTTCTTTATCTTAATAGAATATTGTTAGTATTATTTTCAACTCTGATTATTATATATTCATATGATTGTTTTAAATTGACTGTTGTGTTTAAAATTACTTTTTTTTCAGCTAGAAAGCTTGTATTTGAATGGGCAAAATACAGATATGGAATTTTCAATGAACATGGATTTCCAGGTGACGAAAGATATCCTGAATTTTATGGAATTCCTGGTGATTCTAAACCCAGAGTAACAAGTTGTTTAAACTGGGATATTGAGATAGTGTAAGCATGGATTTTGGAATTATTTTAAATATGTTTTTGTTTTATATTAAAATATGCAATAAGTTATTTCTGTTTAAATTGAAGTATTGGAATAGAAAATATACAGCAAAAAGTCTTAGTGCTTTTAGATGTCAAGATTCATATTTATTTTCATATATTAAATTAAATTTTTTGACACTTTGTACTTAAGGTTAATAGATTTGTTCACATTACATAATTTTTGAACTTTATTTGGATAAAGCATGCTTTATTCAATTCACAAGCAGATAAAGTTGACATTATCCAAAAAACAGGTTAATGAAGCACAAACAATAATTAAAATTTGTGCTTTATCCAGATAATGTGGATAAAAATTATATACAATTATTAAAAATATGTTGTAGTATACCAAAAAATTTGTCTCACAATCTATCACTACACAACACCAGTGACAAACCAACAAACAATCTTCACTTACAGAAATATTTTATTTGTGGCTGTTTCTGTAAAAATATGCAAATTGGTTTAAAAAATGTCTTCTGGTGGTGATATTTGTTTTAATTTATGGTATCATTGAGAAGATCAGTTATCCTGAAGATGCCCATTTAACACAGTGAAACATTTACTTTCTCATAATTTTTGTGCTGGAAATTGCTTTGATTCACCTTGATTATTCTCTAAGTGTTGTTAAAAGGAATTATTTAAATAAACTTTTATTTCTTGTATTTTCGTTTTAGATGTAAAAATAATTTTTTGAAATATAACAGAATTGAAAAGATAGAAAAGATAATGGCAATAGCAATAATAAAAACAAACAAATAGTTAGGCATTCTCTATTTTTATTTATTTCTCTGTATAACATATACCTTACTGGATGATTATTAAGAATATCAACTGTAAAGTCATATACACAACAATAATGTGGATAAAAATTATATACAATTATTAAAAATATGCTGTAGTATACCAAAAAATTTGTCTCACAATCTATCACTACACAACACCAGTGACCATCCTTCTAAAGCGAATATATCAGTTTATTCAATGGTCAATTAAATCTTGACAAGTGAGTGCAATTGACATAACATGGCAACACAGCAAGAAACCTGTACTTAGCCTTTGTTGTGATTTATTGTAGCATATATGTAAATGTTTTTTGTAGAAAGTCAAGATTTAAAATTCTGAATTAATTTCCTTATTAATTAAAATTAACTAATTAAAGGAACTGCTTGAAAAGTGATCACTGCATGCCGAAACATCTCAGAGAATGCATTACCAAGAATGTTCCATGAACACATGGTGTTTACTTTTCTTTGGAAGTTAACTTGTTTTTGGATTATCCAGAGTATGAGATTCATTGATTGAAACAATTAGATCAATCAAGATCTCATCCAGATTGCAATTGATTAGATTCAGTTATGAAACGTTGAATAACATGATCTCACCAGAATTATCAAAACTTTTCAGAATTATTGAATGCAAATTTAGACAAAATAATGCAAAGATGATCTTTTCATAAGATATATAAATTTTTACAGTTTTATTTTAATATATTCATTATTATAAAATATAGGATATATTACAAAAATATAGGAAACTATAAATGCAGGCAAAGCAAGGTGTTTGCCTGCATTTATAGTTACTGTGATTGGGTTTATAAAATATCCATCACAGTAATTGTTACACCCACATTATTAATTGTAAATTTCAAAAATGTATGTGGTAAAACCCATTTTAAGAACAGTGACATTCTGTTAACCTGATATTGCTGGGACCAATGCATTGCCAGATTATTGAACATGCTGCGTTATCAGATGGTGGAATATTTTCCGGTTTTTTTATTTCTGGACACAATTTTACATACATTTGTGTGTAAAACTGTACAAACCCACCTCTTAGGATTGTTTAACATGCCATTTCAATTTTTCCAGACTATTCTTACTCTTGGTTGGCTTGAAACAAGTACATACTATTCTTAGTGCTTGAGTGCATTTTTATTGCATATAAATAATACAGATGGACTCTAATTATCAAAGTATATGAAAAGTAATGTACTGTAGCTGTTTCCATGGCTTCAAGTGTGCTAAATTTTAGAGACTTTTCCAAAGACATTAGTGCACAGATCTATAAGAAAGCAGTAATATTTAATTACTGCTTTCTTATAGATCTGTGCACTAATGTCTTTGGAAAAGTCTCTAAAAAAACATGCAGAAGCTAACTGGTTTTACCTAATACAGCATTATCATCTTGGCATTTGTCATGTCTAAAAGAAGAACCCATACCCAATTGCAAGAACTGCACATTTTGAATGCTTTTACATAAAAATATTAACTTTGGACGTATCTAGTGCACTAATAACCCCCAAACAACAAACTTGACATGCCAGTTTATTAGGTTTGCTGACCTAACAGATGCCAAGTTAATGGAATTTCACTGTACTCATTAATAGCGAGTTTATAGAAAAATTTATTAGAATTTGTTTGGTTTATTTGGTTAATACGTGACGTGGGAAATCTGCTGAGAGGGATGCCTTCTGGGAGGACTTTTACAAGGAAAGTGGCTATGATTTATGTATTACTAATACTATGTTCACACACAATCCATGACACACTTTGAACTCAATTTACCTACAATCTGGATTGTAACTGTTGCCAGATGAACATCGAGCTGTTTGCACAGGCAGTCCACTTGAGAAGAACCTGGCTATTACACACAATGATAAAACTGACGTAACTACATGGTTAGTCACAAACACCAACAAACAAAATGGATGTTTTAGTTAGAAATAAATATTTTTTCTTGTCATATATCTAATAATAGACAGATGTCATTGTCTTTCCAGATGTCTTTTTTATTTCTCTGTTGATAGCCCGACATGTGTTCTGCAGCCATCTTGTATTTTCTCGCACATGGGGTATTGTGGGATCTCTTATGGCTGGATCTAGTTTCAAGAACTCTCTTGAGTTGATTGCGATTGAACCTCGCTTCAGTCCAGATTGAAACGGTCGAGAGAGGTCACACCAAGGGATAGTCGCCGACCTTGGTCACAATTTAGACTGACATACTTGGTGAGAACGGGGTAAAATGTAATTAAAACCCAGAAAACTGCATGTAATCAGCCCAATGGCAATACACAAACCCACAACCAATACAAGTCTTTCAGTGGTTTTATCCACTTGGCCACTGTTGGGCAGTTATTAGAATTAAGAAAGTACCATTCAGAAATGAAAAAAACAGAGTTTTTAGATGTGGAAAATAAAATACTTGTATAGTTTTAAGTGTAACACTTTTGACTTCACATAGGTTAGTACTATGTGCTACCTGCAACAATGATATAACATGTCTACTTCACACTATCATTATTGCAATAATTAAGTGAATATAATATTTGTTCTTTTTTTAATTATATCTTTTTGTATAAATTATATTTAGTTTGTTACTTTTTACAAATTTTTTGCTAGTAGAAGGTGCTACATGTAAAGCCAGCAAATTGAATGTAGACAGAAATTGATTGAATTTCTATATATCAATTAATATTTTGGGGTTTAATATATCTAAGTTATATGGGGTTTAATATATCTAATATATATAAGATATATAAATTTTTACAGTTTTATTTTATTTGTATATTATATTAATGTAACTACCAAGTTTCAAATCAATTGGTTGAATGGCCTAAGAGTGCAAAGCAAACAAACATCCTCATTTATATATATATATATGTAGGACAAACAGGAGGCCTGATAAAATCTGTCTGTTTAGTTTAATTTTGTATTGTATATTTCAAGAACCTTTGAAGAATTGTATGCATTGAAATATATATATATATATATATATATAGAATTTAATAATGTCTTCTGGAAACTTCTATAATAATAATCCAGTTTATTTTTAACAGAAATAATTCATGTTTGCCAAAAGTAGATAACAGTACAGGAAAACTGGATAAAGATTGTCCTCCTGAAGTTGAATCTCTTGTCGGTAGAAGGTCTTCATTTATGTACTCGCCTCAGGTTAGTATTATTTATCTTTAAACTTCTAAAACTCAATAAAATTTTACTGAAATATGCTATTGTTTTTATTTTTAGTTAGAAGAACTTTGTGGGCTGAATCAGAATCACGATGCTAGAGCTCCAACAAAACACAACACACTCTGCAAGGAAAGGAGTATTTGGGAAGTTATTATGCAACATGAAGATTTCAAAGATGGAATGTAATTTGTTTTTAACTGTGATATGTTTTTTTTTTAAATAAGTTTTAAAATCTCCTCTTTTTTTTTATAATTTAGGAATAGTCCTCCTCCAAATATAGGAATTAATACACCAACAAATTTCAAAATTGTTCAGCTGAGAGACGCTCCTCTTCGTATGGTTGTAGCTATAGATAGATCAAAACTTGTTACGGAAGAGGTCTTTTGCAATTTTATTGATCTTGTCAGAAAAAGTTCAAATAAAAATTTATTTTGACATTGTTACTTTACAGAGAGGAAGTATAATGAATAAAGCAGTATTAAGATTTCTACAGTTTATTCCTGAAAATTCATTAGTTGGCTCAATTCAGTTTGGTGGTTCTTCTGAAAGCTGTTTTCCAAAGGAACTTAAATCTGTTAAAGAAAATCCACTTGTTGAGTATCAGCAACTTACTGAAGAATTGCCTTGTATTAAATGTGCTCTCTTAGAATCAGTAAATGTAAGTATACAGTTAATATTTTTACTTAAAAAAATATTTTCTAATTATAATGTAATAATATAAATAGGATATGTCTGTATGCTGTGATTTGTAAGTGAACTGTTTTTTTTTTATTGGCAAAACATGTAATTCTATGGCAACCACATTTGAATTCAAATTTCTCTTTAGAACAATCCATCAAATTTTAATGGTTAGCAATAAAAATTTTTATAAAACTACTTTACATTCAAGAAAATAATATACTTCTGATGATATTGCCTAACTTAAAATTTATGGGATTGTTTCTTCTTTCACTTCATTGTTCAATGTATAGGGTTATTAACAAAATTTTTTTGCTTAAGTGAAATTGAATGAAATGAAATTTGAAGAATTGTTGCATTGTAACTTAGGCTGCGTTTCTTTATGCAGCGAGAGTGCAGCGTAAATGACGTCACGAGCAGCTATCGCTACACGTCGCTGCATCATAGTTTAGAAACGATTTCCACTTGAGCGAAACACGGATGTCATAATCTATCCTTTAATTCCAGTTACAGCTGAAAATAGTGCTTTAGTTAAAGAACTACAATATTTAAATAAAGAGATATAAAGAATCGAGCATTTATCTTTCCATAAATGTTAACAAAGTAAAGAGATAAAAGATATATAATTATTAAATCAATGTGTACAGTAGAGCCTCGATTATCCGACCCCCGATTAACCGACACATCGGTTAACCGACCGTCCTAGTCGGCAAATTTCAAATGTCCGCAAGTGATGTGGCGCTACAATATTTGGCTATGTCTTGGCAACTTTAATATTATTTTTACGTGTTTTAGCTGGTAACACTCATTCGACCATGAAAGGGAGCCAGTATTTAAACGAGGCTTAANGATAACTTTCAGAGTTATTTCATAAAATTTAATCCTTCTTAATCTTTCCATAATATTTTTATCAACAGTCACTTCGACTTTTTTATTTTTACAGCATAATATCGTATTATACACACAAGCGTCCATTTTGCTTTACACGTGTAGCAGACATAAAAGCTGCTTTATCTTCGCTGCAGCAACCTCTTGCAGCAAACATTTAGAAACGGTTCGCTACATTGCAGTGCTGCATTTAGAAACGGGTTTCAGAGGGTTTGCTGTAGAGCGCTTCTCAAGTGCTGCATAAAGAAACGCAACCTTACTGGAATGTTGATTTAAAGATTTCTTCATTTTGGTTTCTTCCTCTCATGACCAGTTTTTTTGTGTTTTTTTGCAATAAAAAAATGTTTTTTTATTTAATAATTGCAATTGTTTGTACTAAATGTAAAAAATCCAGTACTGACAAAAGTTTTTAAAAACATACTAGAACTGATTATTATGTATCAACAAGCTCTGATGCAAGGTTCTTTTCATCTTTTGAATCCAAAACATTTAGTTTAGTTAAATTTTGCCATCTTTTATATATAATTAGAATAGAAATAAAGCAATCTTTCAAATATTGGATGTAAATATAAAATAAACAATTCTAAAAACCAAAAAAACCAGCATACAAGAAAATTCTAATGACTAACAGACTTTTCGACCATATTCAAAGGTCATCCTTACATTAACAAATTCAAAACTAGAATACAAATACATTACAGTTTGTGTTCTATTTTCAAATTTGTTAACCTTTAATTAATGACTAAGAAATGTTTTTGTCCATATTCAAAGTTTTATTGTTTGCTGGATTTTTAGTTTTTTAAAAGTATGTATTTTATAATTAGATCAAAATTTGCTAAGTGATTAATAAATTTTTTAAAATTGATGCTTAGTTTATTGTAATTAAAAACTTTCTCCTATTTAGAATATATTTGTGTAGCTACTGTTACACTTATCAGAATTTTCAATTACATTTAATTATTTCAAAAATGATATCGCTACATTAGAATAAAATTTTAGATTAGAAAAAATATTTTGATAGAAAATGTATTAAACAAAAGATTCTATTAAATTATATTCAAAATTTTTATTCATATAACTGATACATTAAATTCCATTTATATTTGCTAATTCATTCAATAGCTTCTGGAGAAAGAGAATACTTCAAATGGAGGAATAATTGTTTTACTTACTATGTCAGAACTCACTAATGAAGATTTGGCTAATTTGACTGATATTATTATCAATCGGAAAGTCACAGTTCACATAATCAAGCTCTATTTTAATAATTACCTGAGAAACCTAAAACAGCTGCAGATAATTTCGAAGACTGGTGGAAGTGTACAAGAAATTCCATTAAACACTGAAATGTCAGAAGAGGAAAGAATTATCCAGTTGTATTTGGCCCTTTGCAGAACTGTCCATGGTGACATTTTTGAAACATATGATGACAAAGTTATGGTAAGAATATAAATTTAAAATAACTTTAATACAAATATTTATTATATATCTAATTAATAGAGATTTACGTTAAATGTATTCATTAAATATATTTCAATTTATTATTTTGAAATTTAATATTCAATATGTTTTGGAATATAGAAACAATTAGTTTTTTCAGAAACTAATATAAAATATATATATATATATTAGTTTCTTAAATTATTTTATATATATATATAGTAGAGCATCGTTTATCCGAATCATTTGGGGTCTGAAGTTGTTCGGATAACCGATTATGTACGAAAAAATATATTAACCTATTCCATATTGAAATTTTCCTCTGTTGCGTGTCACTTTGCATTAAATTTTCATCGATGTTAAGCCTAATGTAAACTTTTTAAAATAATAATCATGACTATTGTAGTGTTAAAAGTTATTTCTTTATTTTTTACAAACAAAATAAATATATTGAAAAATATAAAAACCAAAACAAATATATTTCAGAAGTTGATCTAGTATCAAAAATGCTCGATTCAACACAACACACAGTCCTCAGAAAAACACCACACAAAAGTGCCAGTGCTGTCAGCTAAAATATAAAAACCAAAACAAATATATTTCAGAAGTTGATCTAGTATCAAAAATGCTAGATTCAGCACAACACACAGTCCTCAGAAAAACACCACACAAAAGTGCCAGTGCTGCCAGCTAAAACACACACACCAACAAAAAAAATATTGGAGTAGCACACAGATTGCAAACCAACACACAAAGATTGCACAACACACAAAGATTGCAGTGCCACAGCACTAGCGAAAATTTAAATTTGCTGACTGGAATGCTTTCAGTTACCTGATGTTTTGGATAACCGGCTTTCGGATAAACGACGCTCTACTGTATATATATCTCAAAACACATTCAATTTTCTACGTTTAACTACTGTTTGTTTAATATACTGAATGATTGTAATCACAGTACCCCTATCTAGAGAGTTATTTAGCAGTCCAAATGACCAAAACTTGCCACAGTATGGCATTTTTGGTAATGCAAGTAATGAATATTTTCTGTATAAAAACATTTGTGCTATACAGAGATCTTAGTCATGCAGGAGATACTGCTCAATGTTATCCACATTCTGTAGGTGATAAATTTTATATTCAACAACTGATCGTAATTGATCCTTTGTGATGCTTCTGATGTGTACTATTCTCTCTAGGCTGTCAATTTGCAATTTGTCCTTGATAAACCACACTTTTTAAGTTCCCCACAACCAAACTCACCAAAATTAAGATCCAACAAGTAGTTTGCGAGATCGGCCCACCCTGACACGGCGGAATTTGCACTTGTTGGGTGGCCTGCAGCTTATATTAGTGAGAGAAATAAACAGAACTTTAATGTTTACACAGATGAAAGAAATTTTCGTGTTTGGATGTAGCAGTGTGCCATAAACTACTCATTTATTTATTTACAATAATACTAGAATGTTGTTTAGACAATGCTTGCCAACCCCCATAGAGTAATGGAATAACGTACTTGGTAAAATAATTAACAAGAATGATAAAACAAAAATAAAGAAAATAAAACATTTGTACTGGTTTGAAACCATGATGTTCTACGTTTTTGTTTCGTAAGCATGATAGAGTTCAGTTAAACATACACTAGGCCTTTTCTTCCATTTATTTGACCTTTTTAGTTGATATGCATTTTTACATATTTTGGGCCTTGCAATGACCCTCTTCAGTCAACTAATTTTTAAAATGTATTTAGGTACTACATAACATCAAACTGTTTAAATAATACATATAATTTACAAACATACCTGCTATTCTGTTTTTTATGAATTTAATTTCTCTTCTGTGTTTGCCTTCCAAGATAATTTTAATTGATGTTTTAACAGATGTGTTAACATAGCATCATAAAATGGGTGTATGCATGAATACAGGTCCTTCATATTTCTTTCCATTCTGCCATTTTTGGAAGAACTACAATAAGTTATAACATAGTTATGAGTGTATAAAAGTTCAAGCAATGTATCTGTTGTACACTTTGACGACGAATAAAAGTTTGTGAATTGTTAAAATCATTCCTTAATACTACGACAATACATTTTGATTTAGATAATTCAGTAGGATTGTTGTAAAAAAGGGGATCTTTTCTCATATACACACTTCTATAGCACTTCTCATCTTTTTTCATCTGCATCGTGTAATCTCATACCAATTTACATAATTTAATTTACAAAAAGAATCAAACTATAGCTAGATATTTTAAACATTTTTCACTATAAAAATTTTTTTGGATTAATTAAAGATACAATGTCTTTGGAACTTTCTTGTCAAATTTTTTGTGTCTAATTTAAATATATTTATGATTCTTGTTACATCTATTTTTTATTTTTATGATTTTTATAATTTGTAACGCTTATACACAATACTTGTTTCATTTTTATAATATTTTTAACTAATTCTCATTTATTTTAACACTAAGATTTTTATTTATGCTATTTTTATTATCTAAGATCTCTATACTTTCTACTGTATGTATCCTTTTCTTTTTGTAAGATTTTTATATTATTTGGATCTCGGGTTTCTCATTTCCCGGGATAAAAGTGAACTGTTTCCCGGGAAATCCCGGGATAGAATTAATTATTTTTAAGGTATACAAAATATCTTGAAATCAAATGATATAATTATTTTCCATTTTTTAAAGTAATTTTAAAGTTCTGTAACCTCCAAAATCATATTAATAATGCTGTGTAAGGTCTATAGGCCTATAATAAAAATTACCTTTAAATAACGTAGAAATTTTCACAAATAGAAAAAAATTAATTAAAGTTTGCTGGAAACTGCATACAACAACAACAAAAAAAATGTTTTGAATTGAGTTAAAAATTAAAAAAATGAACTTCTAATTTAGAAGGTAATTTTCGTTTTTTAAATAAAATATAATACAAAATATTGCAAACTTTTATAAGATTTTAAAAAGCAAAGATGGTCAATACTCCGATAACTCACTCTAATTCTTATTTTAGTAATGAAAAGTCTTGCCACCGAGAATGCCCTTTCCGATTCAATTGATGTGATTGGAATAGTGTTTAATGCATTTAAGAGAAGACAGATATTATGTGTTTTTTCACCTGTAGCCTGGAAGATTTCGAGTTCGTTTTCGAGATTGTAGTACTTCTTTCGCTCTCTAGTATTCTTGATTTGTCTACCTTGGCTGCTTTAATAGCGGCATCAAGCTTAGAGCTCGATAATTCGGCAATTCATTTGGCTTTAATAATCAGGTTTATGAAGAAAAACTTCATACTTGCAGACTTTGTACTCGTTTGTATCCTTGCCCAATTTGCACAATCTGGCGTCAGGCATTTATTGAAGCTACTGGGCATGGTTAAAACTCAAGACAGCGTAAGCACAATTATTCCAGATATTACAGGTTCCGACAAGTAAAGAATTTTTATAGTCCTGCCACAAATAAGCTATATATTGATTATTGACCATTTGTGACATGCTATAACGAGCAAAAATTAAAAAAAACTAATAGGTAGGTTTAAAATTAATAAATACAAATGTATTCTGACAGTGAATGAGTTAATTATGCTTTCTATTTGCAAAATTCCTCAACCTTAACACAAAATAAGAAAAAAAGTGAATTTTTAAGAAATTTGCGGGATTTCCCGGGATATTTCCCGGGTTAAAAAAACAACCGGGATCCCGGAATCCCGTTTGAGAAACCCTAATTTGGATCTATATTGCAGTTGTTTAGTATACAGTGTTCATAAAATACTGAATTGTTTCTGCAGTATTTTAAATTTGATATATGCTCCTTAACACTAACCTTCCTTTTTCTCTTAATTTCCCCTATATAGTATTTTGTGGTGCTGCATGTACAGTACATGGACATTGTTGTTGATTTATTCTGGTTTTTACATAAAATAAAAATAAAACATAATAATAAGTTTAAAAACTAAGTACTGTATGATAGAGTAATTTCTTAGTCTTAAAGTTATGGAGTTTGATATAAAGTTTCTTTGATTTTTACGGTGGGCTTTTGGTAGCAGTAAAAAATTGATTTAGTGGCAACATTGAGATGACACTATGGAGAGAATACACAGATGCCAAGTACCAAGTAGCATTTCTAATATTGACTGATGGAATGTGAAGGTAAATATATTGAGATGACAGTAGAACATTAAAATATTTATAAGTATATATCCAATTAAAACATTTAATGCATTTGTAGGAAGTAAGCAAACCTAAACAAACACATGCAACTTCTAGGAAATTTGTATGGGGGAGGTTTGAAAGTTTATTAAGTAAAATATAAATTTTAGACAAATCCAAATAAAGGTTTTTTTTTTATTTTCTAGGGTAGATGGAGAAGTACATATGGGTAAGGCAAAGTCTATTATAGACTGTATTGTTGGTGAAAATAATGCTCTGAGCATGTTTTAACTAGAAATTACTCTCAAATTTTGCCTTAGCATTCCCCTATGAATTGACTTTTTATAAAATTTTCTATATGCTGTTTAAATGAGTTTTGTATCAAACATAACACCAAGATCCTGGACTACATTGATAAATTCCAATCTTTGATCATCAATTTAAAAGGTATAGCAAGTTGGTGCTCTTGCCGGGCTATAGACTGATAAATTAGTCTTGCCAGAGTTTACTTGTAATTTAACTAAATAAGGTATTAAGTTTATAAATATCACTTTATAATGTACAATGACAGCTATTGGCAAGTTTAATATCTTTGGTGTATTCATTTATGAATAAAGTAGTAATACTAGAGTGTGTCTTATCTATGTATACTATGAACAGTAGATTACTAATGATCAAAACCTGAGGTATACCTATTAGGTGATAAATGTGAACAATAAAAAGTCTTAATCTGACATGAATGTAATAGGAAAAAATTGTTAAGCCAGATCAAAACAATGCCATCAATTTCAAATTTGAAAGCTAATTTATCTAATAGACTAAATCAACAGAAAGCTTTCACAATATCGACATATGCTATATACGTAGGAGTTTTAACTCAAATTTTGGTAGAATGACATGTTGAACTTCAAGGAAATTGCTTGTAGTACAGTGAGGTTTCATACCAGAATGTTGAACAGGACATAAATGGGAGGTAATCTGGAAGTATATGATTTTATACAGACAGATTTTGAATAATTTCAACATGACAGGGGCTAAAGAAATTGGATGATAAGCGTTAATAATTTTTATGATGAATATATAAAAATTAACATACATAAAAACACAAACATTGCAACCAAGATTGTACTTTATTTTTTATTTTTGTGATTGGGTTAGCTATTTTTTGATATTTGTTCATTTAATTTAGATACAAATCTTGTAACATAAATTTATTATAAATTTTGTTCCAATGTTTGAAAACATTTGTTTTGAGAATATTTGATTTGCAGTGGTTAACATGCATTTTACACTTGACGATGACTTGTAGAGCATGTCAAATTCTTGTGAAGGATTAAAATATTTCTCAACAAATAAGACATTGGAGAATTTAGGTAAACACCATCTTAATCATTTGGAAACTGAAACTGGTCCTGCAAACCATCATTATGGACTATAACTTGTTCAGTTTGCAGATTAAATTAAAACAGAAGAGCTATGAGTTGATTCACTTCAACTCTGATATATGCTTTACAAAAGGAGACATCTATATGAGTCTATATGAAGCCTGACAGCCTGCCTCTATACATTCCAGCTTCCTCCCATGACACTTTCCTCTACAAATTCATTACCTTCAGAACCAAAATAAGAGTAATTAGCTGATAATAATATTGGTTAGTTAAATTATATTAAAGAAGTACACTTGCACACAATTCTAGAGTGGTACTGTTCGAAGGTTGATTGGGACATATCAGCACACTAATGTGATAATCCGGAGGGACTCTGAAATTGAGTTACATCATTTTCACCATAAACAAATTTGAATAAATGATTTACTTTAAATTTCACTTAAAATGTGAAAAAATTGATAAAACTTAGGAATAAAATTAATATAACCTAAAAAGGTTATAAACTTCAACATCCTGAAAAACTGCTATGTCACTCCACAGTTTAGCAAGAATTTAGGATGTTTTGCTTCCTTCCTCCACACCTCGTATCTGAGAATTTTGCACACCACCTGGTCCAATGACACAACATTTCTTATTATAATGACTGGGCAGAAAAGGTAGATAAAAGGGCAGGTTTCCATACACTCGGGGCAGTTCCCCAGGACCTTGCCATAGGAAGGCCGTTCACCCAGATAGAACAGGCCACATACAGTATCTCCTTGAATTTGGACCAGGGCACTTCTAGCCAGCAACTACCAACTATTCGAGTCATGTACGTCAAGGTATTATGATTTTATTGTAAACTCTCTCTCTCATACTGATTATAGTCATAGAGTAGACATATGTTTTGTGTGTTGTTAATCTATTATTTGTCCTTGTTATTTTGGTCTTCTGTGATTAAATTGTTGATTTTTATATTCCTGACTTTCATAGTCGAGTATTTATTCCTTATGCACAACCCACACAGAATCTTACCACTCGGGTTCTGTTTAAATTAAGCCATCCAGTGACAAGGTGAGCAGGTCTAACAGATCTGACGATTAGAGGGCCTTGACCCTCATCCATATTTTCACACTAACTTCAACACCTTTTGTAGCAAGAAATTTCTTGGAGTAACATACAATGAAGATCTGCATCATTTCATGTATGGCTTCAAGCTAGCCAAAGATACAGCTATAATATAGTATAGGAATCCAATAGTTTATTGCCTGCTATGGAATGGGAGAAGCTATAAGGTCTCGAAGGTCCAGAAATTAGATTCTATAATTTACTTACATTTCATCCCAATTTTGTTGTTTCAGCATATGTCAGCTCTACCTCGAGACACTCGGGTACTAGGTCGAAAAAAGATGAAAGATGTTGACACTAATAAATGTAATATGGTCATAGCTGCATGTGAATTCATTCTGACAAATTTGGTAAAATGGGATAATGGTATTTAGAAGTTCATGCAATATCAAGGACTAGTGATGGAAGTTCTACAGATTACAATGATATTTACATGCTCTACTCAGCTTGGAAGTTCCTCCTTAAGGAATATTTCAAATTAACTTAAATTTTTTATCCTTTTCAAATAACAACCATTATTAATGAAATAATTATTTTTGTTGTTACATTGCATTGTTTGATTTATACATTTTGTATGTGCAAACACGCATGTCCTAAAATTTGTATTTTGTATTATTCAATAGTTCAATTTGTAAAACCTGAAGTTGGCTATTTACATGGCCAAAACATTCTATTTTAACTGCTTAAAAGCTGTCTTTCATTGATTGTATAGAGAAATGACAAGTGCTTCACTAAATAAATCTTTATATAATTTCACTTGAATTGAAATTTTTGGTTTGTTATTTTGGAATTATATTCTACTATATTTTATTTGAAGCAGAAAAGGTAAATAATTATTTACAAACTTTATTGTAATTTACAAAACAATTTTTATGCTCTGTATAAAAATTGGATTGATGAAAACATTGGATCCGAAATGCATATAAATAAAACATCTGGAAACTAAAAATTACTGAGAAGCAATTTTAAACTCAACTAAACATTCAGATTAGGACATAACAATTTGTTTATTAGTCCAAAACCCATTTTAGGTGGTTAGATAAATAACTGATTAAGCTGACTAATATTGCTAAATTCCTCAGGTTGTTCAGGATGCTTACGAAGAAAACAAATAAAAGTTACGTTTTTACCAAAATGGATCAAGACTTTATGGATAAACTGTATAATACTAAGTGAATAATCAACTGAAGTTTTAACAGGAGTATTTCCCATTAGTTTTAATAACTATATGATTAAGAATAATATAAGTCTGTTATTAACTCCATAACTTATCTATTAATGAAATATTTACGTATGGAAAATAAATGAAATAATAAAATGTTTTTTGTTCAGATTTTTCAAGATGTAGTCAAGGATTCGCCAATAAATATAACATTTCCAGTCGATTTCAGTATCAGAAGAGATTTCACACTGGTGTATTCAACGTCAAATCCTAGAAGAATGAATGAGCGTTCTTTAAGACTGTCTACCGATAATGCTGTATTTGTCAGAGAAAAGTTCGACTACTTTTTTCATGACAAAGGAAGACGTATTGTGATTCCCGAAGCTAAAGTAAACAAAGTTTATATTATTGTTGTTGCAATTATTATTAAATTAAATATATTATTGAGATTAAGATTAAATTTATTTATAGGCAGGAGAATACAATTTTATATTAGAAAAATTTCCTGACTATTCAGATCCAGTATTCGTTTCTGTATTTGCAAAACATAATGTTGAGACTAAAGCTCTTACTGCTAGATGTTGGTTGAACACAAATAATCAAATGGTAATATATTTTTCTTCTACTGATCTTCTACCCTGAAGTTTTAAGCAATTAAAGATAAAATAAAGTAACTAAAAATATTCATAAAATTTTATATAAAATGCTGACTGGATATTTCAGTTACTCTCTATTAATTTTTTTATATTTTGCTAATTCATATAAAGTAACATTTGTAAGATAGGTACAGTCAAACCTCAGGTTACGAATGTTTCTGTTTACAAACAAAATTTTGAATGCCATATTTATCCCAATTGCCATACAATAACTGTTTCTGAACAAACTGCCTATACTTCCTATGTATTTCACTAACTTTGGAGTCTGTAGTTTGGAACTTTCAAATCATGTTGTTGATTGGTTGGGTCGTCAATTTTCTTATGTTAAAGAAAGTTGACAACCCAACCAATCAAGAACATGATTTGAAAGTTCCAAACTACAGACTTCAAAGTTAGTGGACCCGAGATCGCTTTGCATCACGAATCGAATCATTAATGACATTGCTATGTAAATTAATTTCAATGTGCATGCAGGAAAGATATTTTCACTTTTCAATATGCCCCACAGTTGAATTTACACAAATTAATAAACAAGCTTGGTCAAGCCAATCTGATAGCAAACTCTACAAAAACAAATCAAGTATTAATTTTGTTTAAAATAAATTTTATAAATTCTTGGAATTAAGTAGTTGTTCTGCATGTGCATGGACATATGCAATAAATTGATTTAACAGAAGATAATGCCTATGTAATGAAAGTGAAGTCATTGAGCAAGCACATGGAAATCTGACAGATGGACAAAAGTCTTAATATAAGCACTTCACCACTATAGTGGAGCATGCTAAAAACTGTGTTAATTGACATTCACATAATGTAAATGGCATTTAAGAATTTGGTTAGATTTCCTTATATTTCATGCAGGCAGTTGGAACTGAGTCTCTATTTATAGCACTTCTTTGTAAAGCATTAGTTTCGGTTGGTAGTGACAGAACACATTGCTTTTGATATATATATATATATATATATATATACATTAAAACATATAATACATTGCATTTGTAGACATCTATATCATTTTTATGAATAAAATACAGCAAAAAGGTAAAAAAGGGTTTGTTTTTGGGGTTTGGGATGGATGAATCCATTTTAGATTTTCTTATGGGAAAATTTGTCTCTGAGAACAAATTGGTTCCAAACAACTTTTAGGAATGAATTATGTTTGTAAACCGAGGTTTGACTGTGTTTAATAACGTTTATTTGATTTTATTTTAAAAGTTATTTCTAAATAGAAATAAATTTGTTAGAATTTAAAATGTTATTCATCTCTAGGTCAATCTTACAAGTCCCGTAATACTTTACGCCGAAGTACACGTCGGAAATCAGCCTGTAAGAAATGCCAAAGTGGAAGCTATTTTGACACATCCAGATTCCTCTAAAACCATTCTTTCTTTAATTGATGATGGGATTGGAGGTAATATGCATTTATTGTTTGTTTTTTATTAAGTGGTCTAGAAAAGTGCAATTATTGATGCAAGTAAATTGCATTTGAAATATCAGTTTTATATTTATCAGGTTTCAAACATGGTAAGCAATAATGTGCTTTTATGTGAATATGCAAGTTGAATAAATTTTTTAAAGCAATGTGATAACTTATTACGATATAATTAAATATTTTTTCTTCAAAATTTTCAAGTCTAGAAAATATGAGAAAGTTACCTGTAATCTATGAGAGTATGCTTTTGTCATTTCCATTCTCCCAACAATGGGAAATGATTAAAGAGGCACACTGCTTTTAAGTCCTTTCCTATTCATTTTCTGTGCATCATTCAATCCTTCAAATAATTAGAAAATAATATATGTTAGTTTGCATACTGCACAGAATGTTTTAACTCATTAAAACCACTACTGGTATAAACATACGGGGATTAAACTTTACCAAAAACTTAAAAGCTTTTAAGATAATTTTTTCCTCTAAATATATTTTGCCAGAGAACTACTTAGTAGTTAGTTATCAATTTTGTTACACATTAGTTTTCTACAACAAAGAGAAGGAAAGAGGTTGATTCTCAAACTTGCATGGATATTATACAGGGTGAACCAAAAGTACATGTACAGTAAATGATAACATTTATTGAGATTACATGTACAATACAATGCAATTTTATCAACATATTTAGTTTACAACAAAGTTAAATATATACCATTGTTATAGTATAACCCTATACACAAACCCTATTCCACCTACTGTCCATCCTCTATTTATTGATCATAACGGAAATAGTCTGTAGTACTTTATTAGTTCCTGAAATAACAACAAAAGAAATAAGCTAAAATTTACACGGAATAAAACACACAATAAATAATACAAATTTGAAATTTCAGTCTTTTTCTTTATTTTACCATATTTTAAAAATATATGTAAATGGTACAACTAAAAGAATGAATTAAATGCAATAAAAATAATAAATCATTTGTAAAATTTGATACAAAGAAAGACATGAAAGTAATTGTGATTTTAATTACAATTATATATAATTGTACATATGAGCAGAAAAAGATTAACTGGTTAATTAGCTGCAGATGCCAATCAACAAAGTTTTGATAATGATTTTTAAAAAAGTTTGGAAATCTCAGAGCAAAAAAGGTTTAACAGGGTAAATTTTATGAATGTCTTTTGAAAAAGCACCTTTTACAAACATTAAGCCTATAAATGAGAATAGTGAGGTAGAAATTACTTTTTGTTCTTTGAGGAATGAATCTTAGATTTTTTTTCCCTCCAGACAAATTATTTATATTTTATCAAAATACTCAATACAACGAAGTATGGTAGGTGCTCCTAGTCTAGATTGAGTAACTTTTACAAAATTGTGTAAAAGGAGGTAAATGTTGAGTTTGGCAATAATTTCTTGTAACGGCCAGATTTGCTACTTCAAGTTAATCTAGAGAAGTTACAATAGAGGAGTTCTACAGTATAAGGTACCTTTTGACATCTTTGGGAATTCTGAGAAAACTGTCCTTTTTCCCATGAGATTTGTAATGAAAAGAATATTCAAGCACATTTAATGTTTAAATTTTATAGTGCCTATCATAGCAAGGGAAATATTTGTATCCATAAAATCTTATTTTATCTATCTGACAAAACACTTAACCAAAAAAGATATCTAAGTGCATTTAGATAACTTACTCTGTAGAACTCGATTGCAAATTTAAATTGACCAATAGTCTACGCTTGCTTTCATATTAACTTTTAACAATCAACCCATGGGCTATCTGCATGAAGTTTTGGTAAATCTCCAAGGACTAAAAACTTGTTTTTGTTCAGTGACAATGAACTTTATTATTGTTGGATGGAAAAAATCTATTTTATTTTTGTTCAAGAATAATATAACAATTATAGTAATAGTGAAAAAGTAATAACCCAAATGACAACATTCCAACTTTATTATAGGAGTACATTCCTCAGTTTTGTAGTTTGGAAGTAGTATTTATTATTGTTATCAGTTAAATTTAAAAAAACATAATTTGCCAATTATATGAATGTTTACTCAATGGAAAATTTCCATTTAAGAGATGCATATATTGATTGGGAAAAGTATTGCGGCCATTTTAAGCAATGCACATTAAATATGCTTTTCAATTGTGCATAAGAATATGATTAGTTTTTAAATGTATGGTGGGAATTTCCTACAAATATTTGATTATACAGTAGTGTCGATTATCCGAATGTCAATCAACTGAAATGTCAGTTAACTGAAAACGTTCAGTCAGGCTGAATCAAAAGTTTTTGATACTAGATTAACTTCTAAAGTACAAATTTTTTTGTTTTTATATTTTTCAATATATTTTTGTTTGTACAAAATAAAGAAATATAGCCATGATTATTACTATATTATAAAAATTTTTGTTAGGCTTAACATTGACAAAAATTCAACGCGAAGCGACACGCAACAAAGAAAAATTTAAACATGGGATATATTAATATACTGTTATTGGGATATACTAATATACTATATTAATAATGTATTTTTTCGTACATAATCAGTTATCCAAAAAATCGATTTTTCAAACAACCCCAGTCCCCATTTGATTTGGATAATCGACACTCTACTGTATTATAATTAAGATATCATTATAGACAAACTGTTGTGATTTTAATATTTAATGTTTGAAGACCATAAACATGAGATGTATCTATGCTGGATAAAAACAATTATTTTAAGTTGTTTTTAAAATAATAATGAATTTATTTATGTAATAATAACTTATTTAATCTTCCTAAATACAGTATATTATTTACGCTTTGAAAAATAGGAACCTAGTAAGGTAATAATTACTTACTGGAATATATCAATTATATATCTTTTCAATTTAGAAATTTAGTATATTTCAATAGTATATACTATTGAATTAGTATATACTATTATACTATTTATTACCGGGAACTAGCTAAACACCTAATATACACCATCAATCCACAAGACTGCCAAAATTTCTTACTCAGGACATTACCTACATGAAACTTAAAAACAACAATGCCACAGACTTACAAATTATTGACATCCTGTATTGCAAACAAAATATACAAACATGTTGAAGATCACAACATTCTTACGGAACAACAAAAAGGTTGTTGTAGAAATCACTGGGTATGCAAAGAACAGTTACTCATAGATTCAGTCATTCTATGGCAAGCACACACACAACACAAATGTATACATGGCATATACAGGTATACCTCGCCTTACGTCGGTAATTGGTTCCAGGAGAGGTGACGTAAGTTGAATTTACTTGTCACTAGGCTAAACCACAAATAACCATTCCCAGTTCTGTATTTTATTTATAAATGCATTTTTAATAATATATGGTTAATAAGAATCTATTTTAAGCTTACAAACGAATTACTTATTTCTGTACTATATTAAAAACTAAAATTTATCTAAATTTACGAATTCATGTCGTAAATAACAACATCCAAAGCCCGAATAGTATATCTACTAAATTGCCGAACGATCACTTAAATATCGGGCTATTATATGGCTAATTTAATGATTAGAATAAAGTAATTTGTCATTAGAGGTAGGCGTTAGGTGCCATCTCTTAAGTATTTTATTCCAGAAGGTTCTAAAATTAATTTAATTAATTAATTTATTTAATTTGAATTATTAATTTACTTAAGAGATGGCACCTAACGCCTACCTCTAATGACAAATTACTTTATTCTAATCATTTAATTGCCATATAATAGCCCGATATTTAGGCGATCATTCGGCAATTCATGTTCGTACAGTACATACTTGTGAATGTACATGTTTACAATTTGGCTATGTTTACAGTACATTGCAGACTCTAAGACATTATAAAATAAGATGATTTTGTAAGGTTAAATAACAAATACAGTTATTAAAATTATCTTGCGATAGTAGAAAATAAACTAATTTATATTAAATTTACCAATATCGAATGGCGCTGATGACAACGCCAAATGGTAGATATTGGAGCTACCGTGGAAAACACCAATATCGAGCACTTAAAGACCACTAAATAAGATGACAGACAACACAGAAACACAGATATTTTTATGTTTCATTCTCTAGGATTTATGATGATTACATTAACATTTACTATAAATGTACATATTTTAATATGATTTTGTATGCTATAGCACTTTTCTAGTGATATTACAACTTCAATATTTGTGTCAGATGGACATAAAGTCGAATAAAATGACTTAAACTTGATTTTTATTTTCCCATATATTTTTTGACAAACGACGTATAATCAAGTACGATGTAACTCGAGGTGTACCTGTACAGACTCAGAAAAGCATTTGATAGTGTTCCACACAGTTGGCTGCTACATATTCTACACATCTGCAAAATACATCCATCAATTATTGCATTCTTCCAAAGCACCATGCAGCACTGGAAAACATTACACGTCCATACAAATAAACAAAACATTTATTAGGTGAGAAATCTCCTTGAAAAATTCCTCAAGTCCTCTCTGGTTCTGCTTAGAAGTGATGTGCTGTCCATGGAAGCTGTGGAAGTGCCACTTCCCTTGTATTTTCTAAAATATAAATACATATTGTGCAATTATTTTTATATTTTAACATACTTTGAATGAATTAAAATTAATATTTTATTATAACTGCATTATGTATTTTATTACATGTGGAAAACTATAAGATTGCTATAAATTCATATATGGATGTACCCAATGGAAGTGCTGTATTGTTGAATACAGGACAGCTTCCACGCAAAATATTTGAATGGTGTAAAGCAGCCAGATTACACACATTAGCACATGCACTTTACACAGACACTCTGGCAGTTTAGCTGGTGGATGCTACATGCCAAAATATCAAATAACACTTCCAATGGTTCCATCCATTAGCCACTTGTAAGGAGCTATTTGACTAATTGCATTGTTTTAAGATTTAAAAAGTAAAGAATATTTTGTTATTTTTATGTATGTTTCTTTACAAAGCTATATTTATAATTCTCTTTTAATTTATATTGACAGATTTTCAGACAAAATCTTTATCACTTTTATATGTTAATAATTTTAAATATTATGAAAAATTATGAAGAGTTTTAATTCTTTATGTAAATTTTATGGAGAATTTTTTATTTATCTATTGATAAATTACGTAATGAATTGTAATATTTGTGTGTCCAGACTATATTGGCAAGTCATTCTTAGACATCAGATTATCATTAATTATAATACATTTTAACAAAGATGTACTAAAAGAATTATGATTTAATATCATTACTTTTTATGGTACCATCTATGATTATGTCTGTTGAGCACAGTTTTTTAACCATGAAGCAAATTGATACAATTGCAAGGAACACTCGGTCAAAGGAAAGATTGTCATTGGTAGAAAAAGAGCTTTTAAATACTTTGATGGAATCAAAAACAAGCTTTTTATTTTTTATGATAAAGTAATTAATGACTGTGGAAGAAATCACTGAATAGAGTTAGTTTATAAAAATTATTTTTTATATCTTTATTTATTTTGATTTTAAAATAGATAATTGACACAAAACAAACTGTTTATTTTTGTCATTTCTGGTATTTGTTTAAAATTTGGCAAGCTGTGTTTCCATAAAATCATTAAATGCCACTGCACACCACTGCTGCTTAGCCTTGAATCCATTATTTAACATAAACAATATGCAATATGGTTATAATAACATCAGACATCCGTGTTGCTTTTTCATATCTCATGTACATGGATAGCATAAAACTGTATGCATCCACACAGAAACAACTTCATCACTTCCTACAAATCACACATTCATACACCAAGGACATACAAATGCAAAGCATTTCACATAGAAAAGTTGTCCCAAAGATAGGTGATTTTGCACTTGGAGATGTTATTGAATCCATGAAAGAAAGCGAGTTCTACAAGTATTTAGGATTCCAACAGGCCAAACACAAATAAAGCAAAGATTAATTAAAGAATACCAAAGTAGGTTAAACACTATTCTCAAAACATGGTTAAATGCAAAACACATAGTTAAAGCAATAAGCACATATGTCGTCCCAGTACTCACTTATTCTTTTGGAGTTATACATCAGACTCACACAGATCTTGAGCAACTTCAAAGAAAAACAAGAACAACACTTACTAACACTCTACATAGGCCCGGGCTTAAGCCCTATTAGTCTCTTCAAGTGTGAAGGGCCCACGAAAATTGAATTATCATCATAAATTTTTAATACTTTCTCATTAACAATGATCATTTATTGTATNAATATTTTTAATTTACATTGTTGAAATTTGTTGAGATAGTTAGTTATTTTTGCAGCTTGAAAGAAATCATTCATTTCCATTTGAAATGTGTGAGCATTTGAAGCTCTTAAATTTATTTAATTTTATATGGAAAATGTACAAAGATTGTAAACTGGTTTCATGCATTTTCTTTCAATAAAACTTTAAAGTATGTAATTATATTATTATATATTTCACATTGAAAAATTTAATCATGCCAAAATATGGGAACTGTAGGCTAATAATAATTATTATTAGCCTACAGTAATAATAAACATATGCAATAAGAACATATGCAAATAATAAAATAATAATTATAATAATTATTATTATTATTATTTGTATTAACAAAAAATGGGGTCCCATTGGACTTCAATAAGCCCTAGGCCCTGAAAAACCTAGATTTGCCCCTGCTTTCTAAGCATAAACAACATTATCGTAAATCCGCCAAAGAAAGATTAACCCTTCCTCCTTCCACGTAAAGACAGCTGACAGTGGCTTGACCGATATAGTAAACCTTCACTAAAAACTAATACAGACACTGTGAGAGTTTTTCTAGAAAAAACAAGAAACATCTGTTAAATAAAGCACTAACTCTAGCAGACTCAAATGACACACCATTAAACTTACATTCACATACATAACACAGCATAGATGCCATTAAGTAATTGTAGGTTCAAAAGACACTCCATAGCAGGCATCCTTGCAACCTGACCGAGGATTTTGTTGATAAAACTGCATCAAACAGCCAGTTAGCTCGGGGATGCCTCTTTGGGAAGACAGGATTCATGATTGCAGTACAGGATCATAAATCTAAAAGCTACAGAAAACACATACTCAAAGATACAACACTCAAATGTTACATCGTGCCAGAAACTATGCAACCAGAAGTGATGTGATGTAAGCTCCTGGCACAGACAGATTATTTACATAGACATAATCAAGTAGCAAATATAATACACCAAGAACTTGCAAAGAAACACAAATTATTAGACATCCACAAACCATACTACAAATACATCCCACAGACAGTATTGGAAAAACAACATACACAAAATGCACTACGACAGAGCCATAATCACAGAAAACAATTTACCATCACACTCATTGGCAAACACAACAAATCACATAAATTATAGACATATCTGTTCCAAACACACAATATACAAAACACATGCACTGAAAAAATTAGCAAGTACATAGAATTCGCCCAGGAAATAAGGCATGACCTGTGGAGGATGGATAGTGTGCATATTATAGTATTTGTTGTTCTGTCCTCTTCAGATGTCATACCACACGCACTATACAAAAGCCCCGGAACATTAGAGTTGAATAGAAACACATGCATCACACTACACAAGACCACTATATTGAATACATGTCATATTGTCAGAAAATTCCTGAATACAGACACACACTGACACACTCATTTAATTTTCGTCGTCTTTTGGTTACTATGCCTTGACTCTGGTCGGCATAGTACAGAGCCACCGGTGTCAACAGAGTTAATATTAATTATGTAGGATTTAGTTAGTTAAGATGTTATATCTATTATTATTATGCCATTACGTATTTATTACAAAATTTATATTCATTTCTAGACCCCGACATTACTAAAGACGACGGCATCTACAGTCGCTACCTGGTGGAATTTAGCACAGCGGGAGCCTATTCTCTGACTCTGTTAGTCGACGACGGCGGCGGAAAAGCGGAGTATTTCAGCGGATCGGGTAATCGGCCTGAAATATTTATTATTTTGGCATTTCGATGGTAGACGTCGGAGGGCTTCAACCATTTTCCAGGCGAGACTTTGGAAAATGGAAAATAATTTAAGAAAAAAGTAAAAATTCGAGCAACCATTCCACACCACAATTTATAAACTTAAGTTTGCTCGTTTCGAAGGAAGAGGATTATTGTAAATTGGGCATATTTTTCCCCTTTCTTGTAAGAAGTTTAATTCTATGGAAATTTATTACAGACGGAGAGTGTTGCGGTAGCTTTGTTCCGGTAAGTTCGCCGATTCCCACGGGCGCTTTTCGGCGACTGTACGATTACGGAAATTTCTACGTCTTCGACGTTCCGGAAGATAACGTATATCCGCCGAACAGAATCGCCGATCTGGCTCTTACGAAAATCGAAACGTTTTACCACGATTCCAACCACTCCAATTGGCGGATCATTTTTTATTTCAGATTTTCTTCGGCGGGCGAAGATTACAACGTCGGCAGCGGTAAGTATTTGCACGGATGAAAATAATTACAAAAGTAATTTATTGACAATGTTATGTTATTTCGTCAGCTTCTACTTACGAGATGAAATATTTCTTTCATCGCGAAGAAGTCGCGCAGTTCGACGTCAACGGGTTCTCTCTCGACGATTGGGAATATCACTCGAAATTTCAAAAGTTACCGTACGGCAGTCATCAGACTCTTCGAGTGGAATTATCGCTGGAAAAGTTAAGACGTGAGCTCAAATCCCCGTTGGGTGTATATTTCGCGGCCCGAGCCGCGGACGAACACGGCAATCGCGGAGAAGTGTCCAATACGGCGGAGGCCCTACTCGAAATACCGGAAATTCCGACTCCTCCCCCCACCGCCACGACGGAAACCGGCGACGACCAAGGTGACGGAAACCATACAAAGGATTCCTTGAAAGTGGCGGGCGGTGGACTGTCGGCTCTACAAATCGGAATGATCGTGGGTATAATTGCCGGAGCGTTGGTTATAATTATGGTGTTAATATGTGTTGTACTAATGAGGAAGCGTAAAACGTCCAGAAAGCAGCGGAAATTCGAGAAGAAAGACATAAAGAGGCCCTCGATCGACTACTTGGAGGAGAACAACAAAAAGAACTCCAACTCGACGCTTAACCACTTGAGCCCGGTGCAGTCGTGGCCGGCCAACGTCCTCATGGACCACTACGACAGAGTACAAGAGGCCAAACAGAAGAACGTGTCCGTCCCTATTATGAAAGTGGAAGACGTTCTGGAAAGCTCGTCCGTCAGTTCGGGCAAGTCGCTGAAATCTAACGACATCTACGAAGGGGGGTACGAAGCGGGGAACGAGTACTTTCGTCGCCCGCCCACCGCCCCGCTCTCTTCGTCAACCGGCTCCCTGGCGGATCACCCCCGTCACGTTACGCAGGTGTGAGGACTGACGGAATTTTTTATTTGCGAGAATTCCCGGCAAATCTTCGCGGGGAATTTCGCACCTTTCGTTTACTTCTTTTTTTACAGCCAAAGATTCGAATGTGATAACGAAAATTTTTATATATATTATTGTGTCCGTGTCCGTCCTTTTGCTTTTAAAATGGATCGAGAATAATCGAGAAGGGATTTCTCGTCCTGTAAATAAATAAAGTTGATTAAAAATGATTATAGTTATAATGACATAAAAAGTACTTTTGAGGTTTATACGAACTGCAGTCGGTGCTTCTGTTTATGCTGGGCACTTAAATAATAACCGTGTATAAATTTAAACAATGTGAAAAATTGATTGACGGTATACACTCAAAAAGACTATTTGAGGTTTTACTATATTTCACTACCCAATCTTGAAATTTAATTAAGGGACCGAAAGATGGCCAATTTCAGATGCAGAGACGTACGAAAAGTGGAAAAACTTTTATTCGGGTGCAACATACAAAGCAGTAGAATAGGGGATATATAATTCTATGATGATTGGATAGAATCTTGAACTAGAACAATATAGATATACGGTATAATCCCGATTATCCGGGCTAATGACGTGGAACATGCACGAATAATCCAACAAGTTTCGTAGAAGGAAACTGTCCTCAAACTTCTAAAAGCTTTAGTTCACACTTTTCCACTTAGGTGGCAACGTTTTGTTTATACAAAATAGTGTATTCTTAGCAATAGAAACTTGCGTGTGGTCGCGTCATTTTTGCGTAAAAAGTTGCTGCACGAATAATCAGGAGTACACTGTATATGAATTTAGGTGTACTCCCAATATTCCCACTAGATCTAGTGGGAATGTTGAAATTTGAATAAATCGGTCTGGCATAGTGATTTTGTGGAAGATCCACTAGATCTAGTGGGTTTTCCACGAAACTGGCAACCACGCCAACAGAGAACGCTTTACTGGCAGTGGGCGTATTTGAAATCTAGGCGTCAATCAAGTGAGATGCTGCCGGAACTGACGTAACCGCTGGCGTTTTCGAGTGAACACAAACGTCGACTGCCGGGGATATCGAAAAAGTAATTAAAAAAAAAAGAAGACGAATAATATGGACTTCCACGTTACGTTAAATCCAATTTTGAACTTAGTTTTACTTTCCCGGCTGTTATATATAATAAGGGAAAGTAATGGAATTGTGTCCTCAGACCCTCAGAGGTTTTTTTTTTGCAAATCTCCACTTTTGAGATTCCCTGAATCCCCCAAAAAGGCAAAAAAAATTCCATGGATATGTGTGTATTGGCATCTATTTCGCTTAATATCTCAGGACGAGCTGAAAGAAACGAAGTTTGGCACAGTAGCTTATATATAAGTGGCATTGATGCTGTTAAATTTTGGTTGTGAAAGGTGAAGGGGATGGAAAGACAGGACGTGCTCACGTGTCATATCTCTCGAGGGGTTAGACTTTATAAATGCTAACTACAAGTAAAATCATTGTTTCATAAAACTCATCTCTACCCTCAAAATTAAGTCTATATATTTTTAAAATTATAAAGTACGAGATTTTGTTAGCAAAAGTTTTTATAATAGATGGTGCCACATACAATTTATTTTGATTAAAAACATTTATACAGTATTGTTAAAGTAAAATTTCATAAAAGCTGGGAAAGCAATTTTCGTTGCTAGATTTTTTCATTAAGCTGTTCTCATTAAATATTTTGAAAAGAGAAACAGGGATGATTTTTTTCATTTCTGTAGGAGATTTAAATAACTAAATCAATCCTAAGATCACAATTTGTTTTAGTTGTTAAAATGTAATGTCTTACGTAAATATACTATTAATGTACTAACAGAATCTTAATTTAGAGTACATTCATCGACATATAAATTGAATTAGTTAGCCTAATAAGTAGGGTTGTAATAAATTGGAGGGCTCATCACATCTGGGGCTGACTGGAATAAATAGACTAGATTTTACTAAAAATAGCCTTTAATTAACCTCGATCAAATTTTAGTAGGAATGCATTTCGGGTATAAAGGCCCCTCATCAGCGTACGTATATAGTATAAACACTAGTATCCATCAAGACCATAATAACGTATGTAGTAAACCAAGACTAAAACATTTTCTGTATATATACAGTGCACTGTTTACATAATGTAACTAATACCGTACAATATACTAAAAACTAAAAATTACCGAGTATATAAATTTTAACGATGAGTTATATTTTATCCGGGACCGGTAAATTTTTCTCCCTTTCTTTTTCCAAATTCCGTGAGATAATTCCACCATTAATAATAAATTATTGTCAATTATAAACTGAGAAGGACGAATTGAATCTGTGAACTTACATTATTAGTTAATTTTCCTTTAATTATGATCAACATCATGATATGGTATCAATCCAATCTTTTCACTTCCGTTATTAAAAATAATAAAATAAGACTTTGTAAAAAGGGCTGGCGAAAAATTACAATTTGGACATGGCGAGTAATGACCGATACTGTATGTCTAGTATCTGTAATGTCATTTTTACTTATTTTTTTGTTTATTAAAGACCTTTAAACTAGAAAGAAAGAGAGTTACTATACTCAGATACTGGTAATTTATAATTTATTTATTACAAATACTGCAATTCTTAAACAATATGAATTTATGAAAGCTATAGTTACGAAGGAAAGTATAGAATAGCTTCACTCGATATTAATAATATGTATCCCTCAATAAATTTAGATGTAATTTGTCCAGATTGGGTTAAACAACTGGTCGAGTTAGTGTTAAATAACAATTTTTTTAATTTCAAATACAGTATTAGCGCCAATCAGAAGGTATGCCAATGGGATCCAGCATAGGACCTAGATTGGCTGTTGTGCACGATCATAATTGATAAAGACCTCATATACCTCAGGTTTTATTAATCAATCAGTTAAGATATGTAGATGACTGTTTCATCATTTACGATGAAAGAATACTGGATATTGATGTTTTTGTGAAGGAAATTAATTTAATCAATAAAAATATTCAATTTAAATGTGAAAAAGAAGTAGACATTATTCTGAATTATTCAGAGGTTACTATAGTTAATATTATTTTCTAAATAATAATTGCTATTTATGTTAAAGAATGTGCTACGGGGAAAGTTATATACTTCAAATCTAATATATCTTTATACATATACATCTGAATGGTATTCTTTTTTATTAACAGAATTAAAGAGAGAACGACATTGCAAAATGATCAAGAAATTGAAATAGAAAATATAATAAGAATGTTCAGTTCAAATAATTATCCTAGAACCTTATTGCTAAAATGGTTAGAAACAAGTAAAATAAAAAAATTTAATATTTAACTGGGAGAAATTAAAATACAGTATTGTACAGTACCTTAAAATGTAATATGTATTCCATGTTTTTGAAAAATTAAAAAAGAATTTAAAAATTTATTATATTATTTTAGTACCAAATCATACAAGAACCATAACAAAAATGATCAACAGTAAATATAAAAATAATGAACATAATGATTGAGAGAAAGATAATGTAGTTTATTCATTGGATTGCAGTTGTTTACATTAAAAAAAGATATATTGGGAAAACTGGAAAAAATTAATTAAAGAACATATATATGTGCCATTAAAAATAATTTAATTTCATCAGCGGCACAACATTGTAATAACGAAGGGTGTGAAATTATAAAAGATGGCGTTAAATTATACTGACAGAAAATAATCAAAAAAAAAAATTACAAGAACATAGATGATAGAATGAATAACAACTACACCAGGGGTGAAGCGACGTCATATTACAGAACTTGAGAACAACGCAAAGCAGATGTTGGAGTGAAAGTCACATCGTATTGTAAAGGAAATTGTAATAAAGCTGTTATAGGAGTTGACTTTGTATTATTTTTATGAACTTGTTTGAAGGTCTAATAATAGAAGGGGATGAAAGGATTGGATTGATACCTTATCATAATGTGATGATAATTAAAGGAAAACTAATTATTAATAATGTAAGTTCATAGATTCAATTTGTCCTTTTCAGTTTATAATAGACAATAATTTATTATTAATAGTGGAATTATCTCTCGAAATCTGGAAAAAGAAAGGAAAAAAACTTTACCGGTCCTGGATAAAATATAACTCATCGTTAAAATTTATATGCTCGGTAATTGTTGGTTTTTAGTAAATTGTAAGGGATTAGTTACATTATGTTTAGTTTACATTAGTTTCAAGCGGACCCTGCATAGAAGCAGGACTTCAACGCTAGGAAGAAGAAGAGTTACATTATGTAAACAGTGCTCTATATATATACAGAAAATGTTTTAGTCTTGGTTTACTACTTACGTTATGGTGGTCTTGAAATGCATTCCTATTAAAATTTGATCGAGGTTAATTAAAGGCTAATTTTAGTAAAATCTAGTCTATTTATTCCAGTCAGCCCCTGATGTGATGAGCCCTCCAATTTATTACAACCCTATTTATTAAGCTAACTAATTCAATCTAAATAAAAGTTGTGAGCTAAAAGCGTTATTTAGTATTAACAAATAAATTATTTTCATCGTATAATTTTTTTATACTTTATCGGGATGGAATGCCACAAGAAAAACCTACCGAATTGAAGGTGTCGCTGTTAGAAAAAGGTCGAAAAACACCGGGTTAAGGTATAAGGTAAGGTATTGGCAGATTACCCTTCTGGAGACCCAGAAACGAACCGAACGTGTCGAAAAGAGTTTCAGGAATTTTGGGGTGTCCGTCCCCTCGTCATGTGCTCGGCCGAGCCCAAAAAGGCCTTAGTTTTCACAGGACGGAATGAGTTGTGTGTCTGTATCCACCACTTTTTCCCTTCTGTTTTACTTAAATAATGCGACCAAAATGCGTATTGGTTGAACTACTTCCGGGACTATTCAGAATATGGTTAATATTAATCGCATTTTCTCGATAACAATATTTAACCATACTCTGTCTCAGCTAAACTGATGGTGACTTAGATGACAATATACGTCACAAAAATGGCTGCGTTAGGCGAACTACCGAAGAATGCTAATATACTTACAATATAGTTCTGTTAAAATTTTATTTACACGTTATGAAGTTATTCACAATACACAACACGGATAATTGCAATTCAGAACAATTGTGTTTTTCCATTCGCCTTTCTTGTGCTCAGTAAACAATACTCGCGGCCGGCAATCTGGAATAGAATTAAATTTCACGCTCCCTCGTGATTTGAAAGTGTGTTCTTAACGCATAATTAACAGGAACTCACAATAGTGGTGTGCAATGGGCCGTTCAAAAGGTTAGGTAAACCTAAAGCTTAGTTCACACTGGGCGCGATTCGCTGGTGAAAGCGAAAAACGGAGCGAATAACCGGTGAAACATGACTCGTTTGATGGGTTATTCGCTCTGTTTTTTGCTTTCGCCAGCGAATCGCACTCAGTGTGAACTAAGCTTAAATCGCTGGATGGGGCGCGAGTGCCCGACGTACGGTACCTTCTCGTAGAGTTTTGGCATCTTTGCCACTCTGTCACACCTGAACCGTTGCACCGTTCTCAAATCTTTCTTCGGTGGCGGGCATTTACAGCGTAAGAGCCATAATTTTATATCCAAACCGTATTTTCAGCCACAGCCATTTACTCAAACTATGTCGGAAAACTCAACACCTCTTTCAATTAATAATCGTATATAGATAGGTCTACTGTCAAAAACAATGACATTTTTATCATCGTGATTAGTCAGACATCCACTTTCGTAACTTTCTCATATCTATTAATAATTTCCTTTTCAACGAAATTAAACGGGTCATCTAAAATAGTGTAACTTTTTAAAACGTGCAATCTTTTTTGTAAAGATGATTCATTTGTCATATCAGTTTTGTATTGTAAAACATTATTGATTACAGTTGAGCCACTTCTATATATATAACCCATTCAACAGGTATCCGTCCGTCCGTCCCGTAACCGTTTGATAACGGACACTAGAGGCGCCCCTATCGTGTGTCATATTTCAAACATTCAAATTAAATTAATAATTTTAATTATTATTTAAATTAACAATATAAATTATTATTATTCATTTGGGCAATAAATTATTATTTGGTCAATATAACAATATAAATAATACATTATATTTGTAATAGGAATTTATTATTGTCACGGAATGCATGTAATGTTCACTAGGGGCCAAATAACGAAAAACCGGATAGGTTTGAATCACTACGTAAGACGATAAGGTTTGAAATAGTTAAGGTAATATAAGGTAATATTTTAATATTTATTAACCCATTCAACAGGTAATGGCAATTTGTAAATAACGCCCACTAGGGGGCGCCCCAGGCTACTAGTTTAAATATAAAAGGAGCTTTTAACATATTCTAAGCGAAAACAATATCTATTTCTCTTATTAACTAAAATCCACCCTTTATCAAAATAATTCTTATGGTAAAAGCGACAAAATCGTCCAATAAATTTACCTCTTATGACTCCAGACTTTCTCGAAGAGTTGTCTTCTTCAACATAAGAGTCGTCTTGGTAGGCCAGGAAATATTCTCGGTACTGGACTTTTAACTTTGGAAATTTTCGCAAATGTTCTTTTACTTGGCCTTTCAATACATACGTTAGATGGGACGACTAGTTTCTTTTTGAAGTGCTTCCTAACTGTAAATAAAATAAACAATATCTTAATAACAATCGATGTATTATCGTGATTTATGTAATAAACGAGTAAAAGAATAAAGCTATAACGTTAGTTCATCATTGTATAAATATTGATATTTTAAATGTATAAATATTGTATACACAAATTTGATATATTTTGGGAACATTAAAGAGATCGTTTGTTTATTTAATAGAAAATTTATTTGAATTCTTTACGAATTTATCTTCTTGTCATGCACATTTTCTGTTCACTTTATTACAATTTATTTCTATATTTTTACCTTCAAATAACACTTAAGTGATATTTCTGTAATTTTTTACCCAAAGTAATTTTTAAAAAATCATCTCTAATCGAAAGCTACAGTATTCACAAATTCAAAATATTCGTTCGTCAGAGTTAAAAACTATACCTACAGACAGATCAATTATACAGCTGTAAACTGAATGAATGAATGAATGAATGATTTAAAGAAATGAAAGGGATGAGGGAAAAAAACTATAGAATAATAATAAATGGCAAATATACACGGAATAAGTTTAATACCTCGTATTACGCTTTCTTTAATTACCAACAAAAATAAATTCGAAATAAAAAATTCGAAATGAAAAAGTTTATTTGTACATCGGTAGATGGCGATACATTCGAATGTGTCGCCATCTATCGATAAGTTATATTTCAACGGCCACTTTTTGCCAAATCGTTTAATATTTAGTAAAAAAAAAAAATACATTTAAAGATAAGTTTTAGTTAATTTAACAGTTATTTAAGATAAAAATCGATATTATCTTAAATAACAACTAAATTACGAGCTTTAAACATATTTAGATTATTTTCAAAGTCAACATCGAATAAATTTATCTCCGTTCTTACCGAACGACGAATTATTCTCGATTCGAGTTTCGCACCGACAGATGGCGACACAGTTACTAAGGGTTACGTCACTCTTACGTTTCTACAAAGACGCGCGCTTCATACAAATATCTTGATTTTTCAAATTAAGATCCATTCGAGAATATAACGTAAGGACGCGACGTCGCGCATTCCCATCTCCGGAAGAAACGCCAGTCGCGTCGTCGATTTAAAGTTAAGACCGATCGAACGAAGAGAGTTCGACGCCATTTTATAAATGCCATGTTCTTTCGAGCGCGAGCTCCCGTCCGCGCTCTCGCTTTCGATCGGCGTGACTCGAGCAGATTTACTCAAAAATGGCATCGTCCCGTTACCGTGGCAACCACCATAATATATATTCAAGGTTATCCCGAAAACGCTTACCGGTGACCTTGCCTATATATATTTTCTCTTTATGGCAAAAATCAATTAGAAAATTTCGTATCCGTTTACGTTAAACGAGAGAAAATTTACTTTTAAATGTAGAAATTACAATTTTATACGTAAATTCGAGATTAAAGTATACAATTGTTTTCTTTTGAATTAAAAATGCAAAAATATGAATTTTAAATTAGCTTCAGAATGTTTTATTAAAGCGTAAAAAATAAATATATAACAATTAAATTGCTATAAAATAAATAATAATAAAAATTGCAAGAATACATCTCGTCAAACGACGACGAATCGTTAAAGTAGCGCGTCGCGTCGCAGACATCGCGCCACGCTACTTTACATCGGAACCGCGCCTCTCTCAAATTTTATCGGCTTAAAAAATTCGTAGAATCGATTATAGTCGAATATTTGTTTTTCCAGAATTGTCTAATTATTTTAAAAAACGGTAATTCGAACGAATTTTACATTGTGACATACAGAGCACAGGCGGGAGCTACAGCGACGCGGCGCGCGAAGACGCGCACACCGGGCGGCATCCCCGCACAACACGACTACAGAGCGAAAAAGCCACCTCCAAAAAGTAAAAGGCGCGAACGTAGTCGACTAAAACACGATTTACGGCAGGCGCCTATTTCTATAAAACTAAATTAAAGGGCGTTTAAACTGGAAGCGTGCGACGTTTCGAATTCGCAAACGAGAAAACTCCCGATGAGCGAACACAGACGACAGATCTGGAGGAAAAAATTATCGATCGCCAGCGAAAAATCCCGGAAGGGGGATTTTTCGCAGAGTGAGCTCGTCCGAAGTTTCCCTGCCGACTAGGCGGCCCCCACCGAGCATGGCAGTCTCGTTCCCGTTATAGTGTGCCGGTAACCATAACTATCGTGACCCAGCGATGACCTTGCGTCGACTCCACCGACCTTGTTCTCTATCAATTGGCCTCGAGGTGAAACGAATTGACCTCGAAACCTCGGATATAGGTCAGGAATTCCGAATCTTCCTCGCGCCGAATGGTGCCATCTGCCGGCTGCGACTGTCGTCAAAACGCCAGTCGGCGATTCCGCCGTTAGCGGTGGCGTCGCTCCCCCCCCCCCGCGTCGCCTCGCGCTCCACGCGCCGGCGAAAGTGACGGCGAGAGTTTGACCCAAATAAGTATTTTATTTATTTTTTTAATTTTTATTTTCCGCCGTTCCGTCGAACCCGGTTTGTCCTCGACCAGTCCTCGTCCGTGCGAAGATCGACGCACCCGGTGTTACGACGGAGCGTTCACCTCCACGTTTTCGGTCACTCACCCCCGCTCTCGGGTAAAAGTCCGAAACGGAACGCTAAGAACCGACAGAATGTCGCAGAAGACGCCCAGAGCGTCCTCGAAAATTCACTTTCGATGACGTCCCCGCAACAAGGGGCGTCGGAAAAAGTTCGTCGGCGCGCGGGATACGAAACGCCCCCGTTTGGCGAAAATAGACCGGGCCGCTGTAAGCAGCGTGTCGCACAAAAAAAAAAACGAATAATGAACTCGCCCGGCCGCCACTCTTTGTTAAGCCCTACCCCCTTCCCCCCTCGATTGAAAGTCACGCTTTCGCTCGCCTTCCTATGGGGTCGCCGGTTCTTCCTGTTCCACTTTCTCCAGCCGAGTCGAGTCTATCCTTTCCGCCACGAGGGGGTCGTCGACACTTTCGCTGGAAGGGTCGTCGAACTCGGCACTTTCTCCTCTTGGTCGTTACCCCGCTAACCTACATCGGAGAATCCCCCGTTACGGCGTCGCCCGGTTGATCGATTCGTTTATAATGTAACCAGACAAAGAAATAAACCGTAAACGCGCCGGCCCGTGACGTAATCGGAGTGTTAACTCGAACCCGAATCGGGTTCCGACGCGTTCCAGAACTCGAAAACTTCGTTATATCGGCGGCGCGACTTAGGTCATTCGGATACGTTGGGGTCGAGTTTTGGGTTAAAAAGACAACCGCGTTCATTGGAACATCGAATGTGGGGCAGGCGAGGTCTTTCTGTACAAAATCGAGGACGGAGTGGCGGGGAAGTGATGCACGGGTTCTTTTTTTTTCCTAAAGTGGGATGTTCCGCAATTGCTTTTTTTGTTACGACACAATTCGATTGTTCTTGGTTTCTTACTTCTGCAAATTTCGTGCCGGTGAACTCGATTTTCGACAGTTTATGACCAGTTCTACAGTAAACCACTCCCGCGACTTACGGCATATCGACACGATAATAAAAGTGAAATGCTCAAAATCGGAATGAAGACTTTCCTGTTAGTTTATTTAATACCGATGTCTAGAATAAACAACTGACCCAAGTCCGTACTGAGATTTACACTGTAATTAACGCGTTACCGTACTTCATAGTTACGTATCGCGTTAAAACCTGTGAATGTTACGCTATTTTGTCCGCTAATATCGCACTATTGTGTTTCACACGCTAATAAATGGAGAGACGTGAGATGATTTCGACCCTACTTCAACACCCATGCGTGTGCATTTTTATCCAAGTTGTATATTATTAGCAGAAGTATTGTGTTACGACTGGTTACGTTGCATCGTAAACGGCGAAGATTACACAAATAGTTAATAAGTTAGATAATAGATTCACGTTGTAATTAAAATATAAAATAAACTCCCCGCCGTTTTACACGCAATAAAACGAAGGGGTGACAGAGTTGTTACCGTTATGCGTCCTAAATGAGCATCACCCATGAATTATTTAAGGTCGCCAATGTTGGCTAGTATTATTATATGTAGGTAACCTTAATCAATAACAGTTGGTATCTACCTGGTGTCAGATAACGATGTAATTAGAACATACGAGGCCAGATGCAAACGAAATAGTACAGAAATGTGTGTATCGAGGTGCTACGGGTCGTGGTTCGCTGAAAATCGTCATGATTAGGTGACAAGTAGGACGGGAGTTTTCTGACACATCTACTAGTTTTAGGGTGACACTATTTTAATTGTTTGCACATCCTAAAACGTTCGATTATTCGACCTAAATGCCGTAAGATGTATCCAATTCTACATTTTACTCTTTTTTATTTAATTAATTACGTTTCAAACAACGAACTTAGTTGTCTGTACCAATGTTTACTTTCCTACTTCAGTCGAGGTTAGTGATAAATGACTGGTTTTCTTTCAACAAATGCATTTCTCTATATTACAATTATTCACTTTCTCGTCCTACAGTAAAATAAATCTTATGTACTGGAGTTATATCATAACTTCAGCACATAAGATTAAATTAATTATCGCTTTATATCCTAAAACTCTACATAATATGCATTATAAATCTTATGCTATATATATCATACAAGTTATGATATATATAGCCTACATACTTAAATATTAAATGATCTACTATATCTTACAGATTCTACACTATGTATATAATATATATATATATATATATAATTATATATAGACACATAGAGAGAAAATATACACTATATATACTGTATTTATATCTTATATAACTTCTATATACCTACCTAGATAAGTACGTATATACCTATTTACATACTACATACTATACATATTACTATACATACTATATATTTACATAGCTTATAACAATATATATATAAGCTATCTAAATAGATATAAATATAGTTAAATAGTTTCTATCGTTTCAATCACTTGTTATTAGTTTTTAAAAATATATTTTCAGGTTATCCTGGAAACGTTTATTGTAATTTGTTTCAAATTTTATATAACAACTTCTTTAAATAGCATACACTTAAATTACTGTATACATTAAATGTAACTGTCTGTCACTTAATTAATTAATTAATTTGAAAATGAATCTAATGTAATTAAAATTCAAATTATTTGCAAAAATATAAATATTAAATGATCTATTATATCTTACAGATACTATATCAGGCAAACAACTAAGTATTTAGGTGGGAGATACTATATCTTTTCAAATATTTACTAAGAAAGAAAGGTAAATTAACAAGAGGAAAATAGAAAGTAAAAATATCATTGGTCGATATCTAAGAGGGGTGAAAAACGGGGAAAGAGAAGCTTAACAATGCTATATGCGCTGCTATAGGTGGCCCCTTTTTAAGTGGAATATCCAAGGATATGCCAGAATGGTTGAAGGTAAAGAGTCTGTATTTTAATGTCACAGCCAGTCTTTGAAGGTGAACGGAATAGCTCTGGGGTTGGGGGCTTATTTTTGAAGGACAAAAACGATGTTTCTAGGCCAATTGGAGAGAGTGGATGAAAGCGGGGGAGAATTGGGTCACATTGTTGGACCCTTTAAATGTACAGGTTTCGAACATGCTAACGTAGTGTAAGGTTCTAACCAATGCGCTTCGATGGAAGACGGCAATGACAAGGTTGATGAAGATGTACAAACTGCATCACAGCTAAATGTTTTAAGGACATATCTGAACGCGTCGCAGCGTCATTTATTAATTATTACGTTTCTGTTCCTTATTAATCACTTATTCAATTAGTAAATTCGATAAATATATAACTGTCTTTACTGTTCTTGTATAAGATGTATGCATTTCACTTTTGTGTAGTTTCTAAGTTATATTTAGGCTTTAATCTATTTAAGCCTAAACATAACTTATGATAAAATAAAGAAATATAAACAAAATTAACTTACTTTTTCTCGATGATGTTTTGTATTGTTCTGATCCTAATTAAAGCAAAAATTTTAATTATAATAATAAATTTTTAAGTAAAATGAATTTTAAATATAATAATAAACTACGCACTTACTGTACGATGTCGTCTGGCAAAATTGGAAAATTAAAAGTTGAAAGAAAATTAAATTAAAATTTATAATTTCTTAAAGACTTTTTTAATGATCTAGAATATAAATCTGATAATAATTAAATAAATTTAAAATATTTAAATGAGAAATTATAAAAATCGTTTTTTAAAAATTAATGTTTTTTTTAAGTTTTAAATTTGTTTAAAGTTTCAAGCAATTTTAATTTAATTATTAATTTATAATATTTTTATACTTTAATTTCTAGAAAAATTTCAAGTTTTTAAGAATTTAAATCTTCTATACGTCACGAACCAATCGCATTGGATCGATAAATTCAAATATAGTAAGTTGGAGGAGGCAATCGATATAGTCTTTCGGGAATTTTTTTCTTTTTTCTTTTTTGTTATTTTATTTATTTCCTCCTCCTCTTACTTTATTCTTCTCATTTAAGCTACAAAATATGTGAGGTCATCTACACGTACACATCTTTGGCACATCGCCTGTCAGCTCGTCCTTCGTCAAGCGTAAGATCAAAAGTCCTTTCGGAAAAATTACATTGGGCTATTTACATCTGTATAACGCCAACATTCTAGAATTACTTATGATTATGAGAAGCATAAATCATTGTTTATAATCGTGTATTTTAAATACATAACCTTGAATCCGAAAACCTTTCTTCGACAAAAAAAACGAAGAAACGAGCCGCATCATTTCGAAATATCGTACAAGTTACTTCGCTGTATTGCGAAAAATAAAATAAAAAAAAATTTATACATTTTTAAATATTTAAAATGTTTTTAATTAAACAATTGAATACGGAAAAGTAAAATTATTAATTTAAAAAAAAAAACTTGCATCGGCCGGGAATCGAACCCGGGCCGCCCGCGTGGCAGGCGAGCATTCTACCACTGAACCACCGATGCACATACTACAAAAGTCTAACTTATAATTATTTATAAAATACCCGTGTTCGGTCACTTGTACATATGATTATCCTTTTTGCGTCTTTATTTTTAAAATTTCGCCGTAACCTGTTACAACTCTTAATTTACATCTAAACATATCCTAACAAGCGATTAAAATGACATTACACACAATCAAATTATAACTTTTCCGTTTGCTAACATCATTAAATGCGAATTAAATTGAATTCATCTCCTATTACAGAGGAAAAAATCCATTTAAAACCCCGTGGCATAATGATATTCGAGCCATCCGTGCTAGATTGCAATAATGGAACAAAAACTAAATCGTGCCATTGTCAACGGTGGCGAAAACCTTGGACCGAGACCACTCTTTAACAAGGTAATTGATGTCAGGAAAATAGGACAATGGGTCAAGGAAGAAAGGCCACACACACACACACACGTGTACATCCAGATAAAACGTCTATCGATTAAAATCGATAATATTTACCGCTTTAATCATTTAAATACAAACATATTTATAAAAACACCTTTCGTAGCAGGAAATTCGCGTGGAGTGTTCAGGTGTGAGGACACCTGACCATGTACCCGAGAAAACAATGAAACTGTTTTAATACATTCAAGGGCACCGGTGACGTCACAGAGTGATTTCGCTACTTATCAAAACTACACTACACACGAAACGTGTATAAATAGATACAAAGCATTATATTTTAATTTTCGTAAATCACGCAGTTTTTTAGTCAATCGCATCCGGCAGGGGGTGAAATAACCCCTGCCGGACGGAATCGATTTTATATTTATATATATACTGTATATATTCCAGTTTTAGAGTGCTGAATGGACTCGTCGTCCGTTTTTAAATACTGTCATCATTTATCAAACTGGATACGAGGAGAAGAGGCGTCGGCGACCTTCGTCGCGTATCGAGCTTTATTGGTACTTGTCAGTTGTCCTTGGTTTCACCAAGGATGCGATGAGATCAGATATATCATTCTTAACTGAAGGATACAGAAAGATTAGGTTGTATTAATTTGGCCAACGTCCAGACAGTCAAAGTAAATATTTAAATTCGCTGCGAAGCGCTGGTAAATCATAAATAATAATAATATTATTATTATTATTTATAAAAAATAAACAAAGCTGTAAAGTATGCAAATGTGGTATACCACGTGACGCGGAAGATGACGTGGCGTCAGCGGTGTTCATATTGGCAATGATCCAGAAAAGCTCCGAGATGATTTCGTCATTTTTCCTGTTCCTTTCATTGCGCTCCGTGTTCGGGTTGAGGTCAAGGTCGAATTTGTTGACAAAGATGGGATTGCGGTGAATGACTTTCTTTGTTTCGATAATGGGCAAATGCGAATATTTTTTGGAATCCACCGGAAACGATTGCATTTAATTCGATCCTTTCAGTGAAAGAATTATTCGAGAACGTCTTCCATTTTTCTTATCACGAATATATTGCGTTTCGGAACTCGACGTCATCCGAGACGAAAACGCTAAAAACACTTTAAAACAACGCCCGGAACGTGTCTGCAACTTGTAAAAACCATGCAATAACGTTATAGGTCCTCGCTGTAAACTTTTAATGTCATCGCCCCTATGCGGTCATAGACACAACCTTGCCCTTGTCCGTCCTTCAACGTTCGTAGGTTGGCCTTCACCGACTACATTTTCTCCTTGATTTGTCCCTATTTGACCTTACATCGACCTAGCTCATCTTTGTCATCACTTCGGTTAAGTCCATGGTCATTGATCTACCTGACCTCACACCGTTCACCTTGGTGGTTCACCGAACTTACACTAGTTGAGTTTTTTGAGCGCTGCTCCTAATTATTCAATATGTACCGTACGTCGGATACAGTTTCTTTGTTAGTCTCAGCGATCGCGGCCGTGCAAGCAGGAGTTTTGGGGTTTTAACCCCCGTTTGGGAAGAATTTTAAAAAATTAAATAAAGCAGTGTATTGTACTTTTATAGTGTATTTTTGTTTGTTTGGTTCCTACTTAGTCTACCGTATACTGTGTTCTCTATATTGTAAAAAGCATTTTAAGTGTTTTTAAAGAAATTTTATGTTTATAAACAAATGATTCAGGATCAAAAGTTTTTTGTCTGTATATAGAAAATTTTTCGTATCCATTCCCCTCCAACCCCGTATAAAGGAGCCTACAAAATGCAAGATGGCGTGGGAATGACGGTAGAACCGTTCTTTTTTTTTTTTACAATAAACTCTCAGAATATTTTAAAATTAAATATACACTTCAAATTAGCAATATCTTTGCAACAGTCAATAAACATTGATTAATAAATATCAAACAATCCCTAAATTATTCCATCTACTATCAAATTATTTTTATTCACTAATCTTTATATGTAATTATTTTCCTAATAATGAATCTTTACACAAGATTTCAATAATTACATGTTGTTACTTAAATTAGATTCTATATGTCTAATAATATAAATTTTTTTGTTTCTTTTTTATGCATTCAAAGTAAAAACATTTGACAACTGGTCAAGTGTTTTATTAATTACTGTACTTTTAAATTATCAAAAGTATTGCACAAACTTCTGTTCAAATATACTACGATACATATATATTGATGTACCATATAAAATTAATATTTGTCTATAAAAATTCTGATCTGTAAAAACTATTATTCCTTCTCAATTATTTTTTAAAAATTCATANCGTCGCGCATTCCCATCTCCGGAAGAAACGCCAGTCGCGTCGTCGATTTAAAGTTAAGACCGATCGAACGAAGAGAGTTCGACGCCATTTTATAAATGCCATGTTCTTTCGAGCGCGAGCTCCCGTCCGCGCTCTCGCTTTCGATCGGCGTGACTCGAGCAGATTTACTCAAAAATGGCATCGTCCCGTTACCGTGGCAACCACCATAATATATATTCAAGGTTATCCCGAAAACGCTTACCGGTGACCTTGCCTATATATATTTTCTCTTTATGGCAAAAATCAATTAGAAAATTTCGTATCCGTTTACGTTAAACGAGAGAAAATTTACTTTTAAATGTAGAAATTACAATTTTATACGTAAATTCGAGATTAAAGTATACAATTGTTTTCTTTTGAATTAAAAATGCAAAAATATGAATTTTAAATTAGCTTCAGAATGTTTTATTAAAGCGTAAAAAATAAATATATAACAATTAAATTGCTATAAAATAAATAATAATAATTATTATAGAAAATTCGCGTGGACCGACGCTACGTTTACAATCAAAGCAGGGAAGCCATCTTTAAAGGCATCAAGTAATTCTTAGAGCAGATAAAGTGACAATCGATAAACATCTTAATTGTATACACACACTTTTAGAAAGAGAAAGAGCTTAAGCATAAACGTTGAACATCCACCCCCTCTGTGTCTTCCCCCGTCCAGAGGTTTTTTTACTATGGTCGGAAGATTCTATTAGACGAAGAGGGGATCGATTCAAAGGGGGTTTACTCACCCCGCACGTTAGAGGCGCCGTATGGGTAGTAAAGGACATTAGCCTGGGCTCAACGGGTGAAAAATCTACCTGGTTAAAGGTAGCGTACATTGTCCTTGAAATGATGTGTGTGACCGTGAAATTCCCGCGTCTGACCCTGAACGGCGTACTTCTGACATACATCCACCGGGTCCCACCCCAACTGACCTTCTTATGTCCTTCGGAGTGATGCGGTGGCCGTGGAACTCAAATGACGTCAGAGGCAACAGATGTGATTGGGTGATCCACTATGAGGGGTTGGGACGTAATAGATGTACGGTAAAGCACGAGAGCGCTCGCTCTCTCTCTCTCTGTGCCTCTCCCCCGTTCCGACATCCCCGTGCAACATCATTGGACGCTACCGTATTTCCGTTCAAGGTAAAATGTGACGTCAACTTCACCGTTTCTTATTACTAAAAATAGTGGTTTGGTAAATGTTATGTATTTAGGTCGAACGATCTCTTAGAGAGAGTCATAAAGGGGTTTTTTTTAAAGGTAGGATGACGATTGTCGATCATCTGACGATCCCAGGTGTTTCAGGGTGTGATTTACGACTTAAACTCTCGCTTCACACTGTAAAAAACTTCTTTTAACAGTTTAAAACAATAATATGACTTTAAAAAAGGTAATAATAAAAATATAAATATCAAAAAAATGGAGGAGCGAAACACCAATTTATACAGGACTATCGAGCGCATTTTAACTTAAAAAATATAACAATAAAATAAAAATACATAGAAGCAATTATTCTTACAATTGCTGACAGTTTTATTTATAATTTTATACATATTTAATGATAAGGAAAGCCGCATTAAAGTTTTTATTAAGGATATTTTAACTGCAGTTTATAGGGAACGAATGAGGAATGATTCGCATGTTAATGTCGCACTTTGCTACCTTTTATAATAATGTAAACGCTAGTAATTGTTGGATATGGCTTTATTACATCCAAACTGGTTTAACTTGTAAAAAAATATATACTTTTAATTACGTAATAAACACAATAAAAATTAGATAATAATTTCGGGGTTTTCCCACATGTTTAAGTAGCGGAAGCATGAAGTCACGCGGCCATCTAGTGGAAGATGTTTGAACTAAACATTAAAATTATTATTATTATTATTTTTTTTTTTTATTAAAACGTTTTAAAGTATTAAAATAATCCTAAAACGTTTAAAAGTGTAAACTTTATAAGTTAAATATATATTAAATTAATATATTTACGTAATAAATTATGATTATAATTAGAAACACTTATTTTTAATAAATACAGAATTAATACTTTTACGAAAATATTTTTTTAATTTGTTGTTTACTGTTGAATAATTAAATAACAGTGAATTAAATTATTTTTATTTGGCTAGTTAGTATAAAATTCATTGCAACTTATGCCGACAGATGGCGGGACGTTAGAGCTACCTTTAACGTTGCCAGATCAGATTATTCTTAAAAATGTGTATCGGGATAGGTCCGTCATCCTCATCATTTATGCATATTGAGGCTGCCATATATCCTTAGTATGAAGATACTTAGCATCACCGAAACATACTTAACTCAGATTTAAACAATATTTTAATAAAATTAAATATTTTAAAATTATACTAATTAGTACAATTAACGGGGGTCGATCGAGATACCAGTTATAATTTTGGAAGCGGTTATGCGCAAAACACTATGGAACGTTACGGGAGGTGGAATGGTAGTTGTAAAGTATAAAAATGGCGTTACGTAACTTTATTAAATTTTAAATTTATTTTTAAAATTTCACAATTATAAAATACATTAAAAGTTATATGTAGAATTACTGTACTTTAAAATTGAATCCATTTTTTAAAATATATTCTTATTTTTATGTAGAATCGACGGCAATTAGTCAAATGTTTTATTTCTATGCTGGTTTCTGAATGTTGGCAACTAATATAAAATTCCTCATTGAATATCATAATATTGACTGATGGTAGAACTTTAGAACGGACCTGGACTGCTTGATTTTTATGCAGAAATAAAGGAGGTTCGATAATTATTTCACCGAAAATTGAGGCTGTATATAGTACTTGTTCCCGCAAGAGTTTACCACATTCTACCAGTACAATGTTGACAACTACGTTATCTATTTTTTCCGCATTGGTGTTTATGACAGGAAGTATGACATGAGTTAAAAAGCATTCTTCTAATGGGGTAAAAAGACAGAGAAATTCGGTATTTTCATCGGCGTAAGTCTCCATATTGTGCTGCGATTTGTAACGATTTTCGTAATTAATCAACAAACGGTGGCACTGTTCTGTTCGTTTTAACGTTAATGGACAGATCGATATATTTGGATTATGTTTTACTTCATTTCTGTTGAGGCCATTAATTGTGGTAATGTAACGCTTCTCTTCGGTAGTTAATATATTTTTCGAAAATACTTGTTCTAACTCATCTTCGTTCATAGATAAAAAACGAATGCTGGATAAGTAAGGAAACATCATATTCCTAATAAAACTGATCTTTGAAGATGCTTCGAGTTGGACACTTTCTTGCGAAAGATATTTATTAGTGGCCCAAGCAAGTATCCCATTGAAAAGGGAGAGTTCTTCTAATGTTTTGTATATAGGCCGTGACACGTACCTGAATATTGTTTCGGGTTCACACTTGGTAAATGCATCTGAACTGAGAATATAATCCCAAGAGTTATCAAACATCGTCCAGCAATGATACTGCAGTAATCTGTCTTTTTCAAAATAAGCGAATTCGTGCATTTGGCAGACATTATCCTGATTCAAATTGGAAAGTAAATAATTTCTGAAATGTTCCTGAAGATCGGCCATTTTATATTCTTTTGCCATTCTGTACATGTTCATAGCATTCTGCAAAGACGTCAACTGAAGATAATTTTCCATCAGGAAACTGAAAAATAAAATAAAAGCGCGAATTTATAAAGCATGAATCATATTTAATTTATATTTCAATATCGTTTTTATGCGTTTTTCCTTTTTGTTCGAGTTTAGGAAGTTTTTATTATAAAATAACCATTAAAATTGTTTCATATTATGAAGTCTAGTAAAGAAAACTAACAGTTATAGGAATACAGGAACAGTTATAGTCATAATCAAAAATATTGTTTCTTTTAAAATCAGTCGATGAACTAAATTAAGATTTCTTTTGTTGTTTCCTTTTTTATTCCCTCTTTTTTTGAGTATGTTCTATTACGGGTATCCTGGAAGAGTCGTTGTTACGATGCCTATTGATTCGCAATTCGTTTTAACCATTCATAAATGAAATAAAGAAAACTTATAAAATAAATATCTATAAGGTAAATAAATATATTTACTTTTTCAATTGAAGAATGTCATCGAGTCTATGTAGAAGAACCAATTCATTGCTTAGTATCACTTCCTGATTTTGCAAATATTCTCTCAGCACTATACTTCTTTCTTCCAAGAGGTGTTTAGGAATGACAACAGTAACTCTTTCTACATTACTAACGTTTATTGTTCGAGTTAGATCGAGTGACATTGTGGTTTACTTTAACTAACTTTGAGACAATGCTTTCAATTAAATAAATTAAAGTTATAATAGTTATCGTAGTAAATACTCGATTGAACAATAATATAGTGTATATTTGTACAAGTTTTCGGGAAAACGACAACTTTTCAAATATTTATACAAAAGTTACTCCTTAATTAGCATTTTAAAACGATAAAAAGTAATTTGATATCCGAACACATTTGCTTCCTAAGTGAAATGCTGAAATATATATATATATATTGAATGAAATGATACTGATATCAATATCGAAACATAAGTACGTTGGATTTTTATAGAAGACAGTCGAAATATAATTCATATTATCGCGTACCGAACTCCGTCTGATGATTAAGCCATTAAGAGTAGGACGAAATTTTGTGCTAATGACATAATTATGTTATGTAGTATGCAAATTTCTACCTATGATATTCTCAATTCCTCTTTACTTTTATCATTTGAAATATATCCAGTATTAATTGATACAGTTTTTGTTTTTACGGTTGAAGACATAAAGTCACACTTTAGTAATATGCTTTTATCATACTTCGTTGAAGAAAAAAGTGCGTTGTTCATTAATTAAGAAACTTGAAATAATGTTTAGATTTAATCGTAAATAAACAATTTTAATACAACAGTTTATTTTTCATTCAGTTTTCTTAGAAAATGAAATTTCACAGAAAATTATGAAATTAGAGAATGGAAAAAGATGAAACTATTGTATTAAAACTGTTCACGAGAGATTGAATCTAAACACTATTTTGAGGCATTTTTATTTTAATATCTGACTGTTTTTCAATACGAATCACTCTGAAACAAAATGAGTCTCATTGGAGAGCCTCGTGATAAACACAATTTCCAATGTTTACCTAAAGCATTGTATTATTACAAAAAATTTCACTGAAAACATTGCTGTTTCCAATTTTAACAGAATCTACTAGATAAGGATTTTTTGGTATAGTCTCTGAATGTTTTGTTTCGATTTCAAATATAATTCCACCCAGTCACAGACAGGGCGTTCCCGTATAGGCCCACATATATGGGTCTATATTTGTTATATTTTGCCAGAGCGAAATTTCTTGCCAGTCAGACGCCGATTCCACCGTTAGATTCAGCATCAAAAGTCCATTAAAACAACGTGGCAGAAGATAGGTGCTCATTAATGGCCGAGTGGATTAAACCACCGAACGTCGGTAGTTGGTCGTGGGTTCGCGCCTGGCTAACGGGTCGGCCACGTAGAGTTTGCCAGGTTTCTTCACGTTAGTAATAGCGAGGTTGATGCCGAAGTTTTAAACGCGAAAACGTGTACGTCGGACGTTCATCACCGCTTTCCTATAAGCTTAGAAGTTTGACAATGGTGTTTGGATAGTCAGTGGAATTATGCTCGACATTCCAAACACCATTGTCAAACTTCTAGGCTTACAGGAAAGCAGTGTTGAACTCGCTATAATATCTAATTAAGGGGCCAGTTTCAATGAAAGATATCACGGAAAGCATTCCCACGATAGCCAACCGAATAAAACAACCCGAAGCCCCAACATAGATATCATTTGAAATTTTAAAGTTATAACCGTATATGTGTAAAAGTTCAAAGATTAAATTATCAAACTAGCACGCAACGTTTAAGGTGGCAATCCATCGTCCAGACGGGTCGAAAAATTACAGAGAAAATATTTTTTGGGGGTGGTTCGTCCGGATATGTCGGATCCTATCCCATTGTAGGCCTGACCGAACCCATAACAGACGTGCTAAAAAGGTCCTCTTGGTGCCAACAGGGGGAAAGAATTAAAAGAAAAAGCTACAATAGAAAATTTACAAAAACATTAAAATAAGCAAATTTTTATGTTGTATGAAATGATACTGATAATTTTTTTAAATTTTAAAATTAGCTATAGACAATTTACATTATTATAATTTAAAAATAATCCGATTGCAAATTGTAAAGGTATGCCTTAAAGTGACGTCACTTTTATCGAAATAATACGGTAAGAGAGGGCGCTTTCTATAGTATAGCCCCGGAGTGTTGTAATTTTTCATTGAGAAAATCCTGAAGGTGAGAGCGATATGGCTATTCGTTTCTGCACCAGGATTTTCAATAATACTTCTTTCGGCTTTGTGGTAAGATCCAGCGAAATTCGCAATTGTTTTACAGTAATCTGCGCATTTTTCTTTAACCTTGTTGCAAAGGTCACTCCGAAGGAAACTTTTAAACTGCTCGAAATTACGAAATTACTTGTTTATAGAGATATTTCTCGTTTATATTAATGATCGGGGCTTATATAATCGAATAAATAAAAACTTAAAGCTACGTGACCGGTGCAGTAGCATACAAAGTCATACTTTACTTTTTCCTCCTTGCTAAACAACTATAAAAACTGATAAAATGCACTGATTTTTAAATCGACATATGAAGATTATAAATTTATTTAAGGACTTATTTTATTGAATAAATATGTTAACGTGTCTCTATGCATTTGTTGATGTGCTGATATTTATATATCAACACATCAACATATATATGGTGACTGATGACTTGCTAGGATTAAGGGATACAGATGCAGTTCTGAGTGAGGCAGGTTGGTACCTTGTATGTGTAGACCTTCGGTTCCTTTGATACTTTTATTCCCGTGGGCGTGGTCTACGGCTCCAAAAAGTTCCCGACTGTCTCATTTGGAGCTGCATTTGTACCGATGTGAATGGCTACTGGCTGAGATTTTCATTTTGCCATTGGTTTATTAGGCCAATAATTTTTTAAAATGCTTTACTTACTACTGTAATAATCAAGCCTAGTTTCATTGTAATGCAATTTGTTTGTTATCTTTAGTATGAAATGATATCTAATTTTCTGAAAATGTTTTTCAGAGACATGTTGGATTACCTTGTGCATATTCAACGGAAGCTACTTTCCAAACTAAGGTATATTATATTTTAAATTTAATATAAGAGGTATTTAAGATGATAATTTCACCATACCTTTTAATAGCCATTCAAATTGCATCTTCTTGAAAATGGTCCTTCCACGGAGGTCACTGTCACCCGGGACGACGCCCTCCATTATTATAAACAGATGATGATGATTCGTCGCTTGGAAGCTGCAGCCAATAATATGTACAAAGAAAAAACCATTAGAGGATTTTGTCATTTATATTCAGGACAGGTAAATTATTATTATAAATACCAAATATGATAGAACTCCAATTATCCAAATTGATTCAGATAATCAAAATTCAGATAAGTGGATTAACACACAAAGAATAAAATGTACAGGATAACAGCACAAAATTGTACACATACTATATTTATTCATCAATATGCAAGTAACATCTTACTGATCTTTTGGATCTGTTGCTTCAAATAGGCATCACTGAACATGCAGTCGCACGATGTAAGAAAAAGGAAGTGTCATGTCAGTGGGAGAGAGAAAAGAGGACAAGTGATGGTTCGGATAATTGGACATTCCATTAATTGGCATTCAGATAATTGGAGTTCCATTGTATTATAGAATACCAAGTAGTTATGAGTAAATCATCCACACAGCACTGGCAAAATATTTGCTCAGCATTTGGTAAATACTAAATGTGGGAAATTGGCTTAAAATTTTCATTGATACTCTTAAAATCAGTTCATAAAGTTGAGTTATTTTTGGATAGAAACTTAAAATCAAAGGTTGGATCATTTATCTGAAAATAATAAATTATGTATCCAACCTTTATTTCATTTTCAACATACTTTAAAAACATAATTCAGTCTTTAATCAATCTTCAGTTTTCTTAGTTTAGCATACATGGATGTACAGAGTTCATATTGAATTTGTTTACTTATTATGAAAGTAGTGTCTGTGATAACTGTACAAATTCAATGATTCCAAACTTTAAAACTTGACTAGTTTGCATCAGTTTTTTTTCTTTCCTCAGAATCTTCTGTACTGAATCTCCTGTTATGTGTTCCTTGAAAATATGGTTTTCAACATTTGCTCTTCTTGTTCTCCTCCTGGACTGCCATGCTTGCACAGTGTATTCAACATAAAATGTTTTAAACAATTCATAATTAATATAAATATTTACTCTGCTACAAGTTTTTTTTATATAAAATATATGTAATATTTTAGTATTACAAATTTTTGAGTCTGTGTTTAGTTTAATATACAAAAATACTTTGGAACCGAGTGATTATTTTATCCAGCATTGTTAAAAATCCTATGTTTGTTTTGCTTAATTTTAATAAGTTATTTATTTAATTTCAATCAAGAATGATAAGTTGTTATAAAATATTTCATGTAAAATTTTTGAATATANTTCAATTTTCATATAAACATTACAAACTATACACATGTAATTTACATTTGTACAATTTGATATTTTAATTAATTTAATTAAATTATGAGTTGTCATTATAATTAACAGTGTTCTTGTTCTTTATAGTAAAGACTGTCAAATTCTGCAAGTTGTGAAAAATAAAAACGATTTCATCTTGAATATAATCATCTCTATATTCCTTGTCCACTACTGGTACAAATGCCTGTCCATTACTAAATATCTCAATTTTTTCAATGTCCACTACTGAAACATTTTCAACCTTACAAAATAAATTAAATTAAAATGTATTCGACGAGATTGACATAATTAAAATCCTTACAGTGAGTGAAGAAAGATTTTGTCTAACAGACAATATAACTTTTAAGCCATAAGGCTTCTAAATAGGGGTCCAGTTTCAAAAAAGTCGAAAAATTTTCCTTAAAGTGTCCACTACCGGTGCGTTTACCTTAATAAAGTTTAGTATAATTAGTTATACATTATTAATACATAATTAATTATAATAGATTAATCAATTTATTTTTCAATGTCAATAAATATGGGATTACCAAAGTGTTAGTTAATATTATATAAGTTTTTCTGAACAGTTTTAACTATTCTTATAATGTTGAAGTGTATTTTCTCTAATTCTAAGACCACCGTGTTTTTTCACACTGAAATTTGCTTTGCTCTAATTACAATCTTACAATCTTAAATGAAGTATTCAAATATTTTAAAATAAAAACTTAACCATTTGTTCACACACTTTAAGGACGAGAAGCAGGATGTGCCAGAGGTAAAGGAGGCTCAATGCATATGTATTCATCTAACTTCTTTGGAGGAAATGGAATTGTAGGTGCTCAGGTGAGTTCAGTTTTTATGATGTATTATTAAATTCCTTGATTACAAAAATATTTCACTAGTTTTAGTTAGTTTTATATGAATAGTTTATTCAACTTTTGAAAGGAGAGAGAATTCATAATTATAAGTTTAAAAGTTAATCTTAATTTGAGCATAATATGAGGTTTGATATTTTTTGAAAAAATGTGGGTATGCAAAAATTAAATTGTCAGCCTATTGGCTGAGGCTGTAAACATTTTAGACTGCTGTTTTGGAGATCCGGGACCCAAAATAGCAAACCCACAAAAATTTTCACAGATGGTCTGACTTGGCTATATTGGGCCTCCCCTCACCACCTGACTACTTCATTACAGGCCTGAATGAATCTAAGATATACAGGATCTTCAGAATGAATGCTACATTTTAAAATTATTGTAATTGTATAATTGTGTTAATTATTATCTGAGAAGTAAACAACATACACCAATTAATACAGTAACCATCTGAGTTTCATCTCCCATCTGCATTTGAACATCTTGTTGTCCACTACTTCTAGGAAGCTCTGTAAATGAAAATGACAACTCCATAACAGAGAAGGCTTTTTGTGTTCTGCAGTTTGCATAGTCTGAATCACTTGCCATTGGACAATATGAGTAACCTATGGGAGCCATAGAATTGTGGCTGCCATGGGAAGAGTGACAATGGATGTGCTAAAATGAGCATAGGAATCATTTGAGTTCTTGGATAATAATTAACCAAATTAACATAAATACAATAATTTAAAATGTTAGCATTCTTTTTGGAAGGAAAGACTCTCTTAATGCCTACAAGATGGAGAGAGTTTAAAAAAAAAATATTCTTGAAACTACATTTATTGAAATTTTGTTTTCTAATTTTTGTGTAATATTATATCTGTTTCAAATTTTATCTAATATCAAAATGCAGATTTTTTGAATTACTTTAGAAACGATTGAGAGTATTTCTATTAAACCATAATAAAGCATTAGATGTTGCCTATTTTTACATTTCAATATCATTTATGCTATTGTTGCAATTTTCATCATAGCACACTAAAGAATTTATAATGTTGCACCTATAACATTGATATATTTATACCTGATTTTTTAATAAAATTTGAAATTTAATACTTGATATTTGGTAATTTGTAAATAATTTCATAATTTAAAACATGCATTGTATTCTTAGGTACCATTAGGTGCAGGAATTGCATTTGGTTTAAAATATCTTGATAAAGATGACATATGCCTTGCATTATATGGAGATGGTGCTGCAAATCAAGGCCAAGTTTTTGAAGCGTATAATATTGCTAAATTATGGAATCTCCCTGTAATATTTATATGTGAAAATAATGGTTATGGAATGGGAACGAGTGCTGATAGGGCTGCAGCTTCCACGGATTATTATACTAGAGGTGATTACATACCAGGTATTTGGGTAAGTTAGTTATGTTTTTTTTAGTAGTTTGAATAATGTCAAGTGTCAAGTGAATTTTATTCACTTCACACTTCGAGAAATTAGTAATATATAATTACTTTTCAAGTCAGAGATTCAAGAAATGCTTTTGCAAGGCTACGTGCAAATCAAAACAGTGTAAATGCAAAGATTCAGGAATTTTTTGAATTAGTAAATGACATTCAAGTCTTGATTCAAAAAAATAGTGTTACATTAACTTTAAATGAGGGGATTTTTTTAAATTCGTTGTTGTTTTCAACATTGAACAAAATAATTGCTGATAATAATTTAATTGATTTTAAAAATATTTGACTTAAATAAAGTAATTGTTTCTCTTTTTGTGTTTTTGTTGAAATTTGCAATATATAACATTATCTGAACCTTGGTGGATAGTGTCGAGGTTGATAGAGTTTAAAATTAAATTCTTTCTTTCATATTTTGATGTTCACCTGACTTGAATAAGGTTGACATTACCTGGGTAATCTCAATATTACCCAAATTTTGCATGCTACTCTTAACATTTATTTTAAAAATAGAAACTGTGAATATGGAAATTCAGACACGTGTGATGAAACCTTTAAAAACAGCAAAAACAATTTACAGTTGATGCCCCCATAACACTGTTTATTATTCCGTTTTATATGAATTCCATGTTGTACGAGTCACTTAGATTTTACAAATACGTGAGTCATTCACAGCCCGGCAAACGTATTTGTAAAATCTAAGTGACTCATACAACATGGAATTCATATAAAACGGAATAATCAACACTGTTATAGGGGGGGTCGACTGTAATTCTGAATGTTTTCAATTATTTTTAAACAACATCCTCAGGTAGAATACAAATCAAACTTACAAGTTAGTGAAAATAGAATATAACAGATAATTTTTGCTAAATTTGATTTTGTATTCTACCTGAGGATGGTCTTTAAAAATGACCGAAAGTGTTTGTAATTAAATTGTTTTTGTTGTTTTAAAGCTTTCATGAGTGTCTGAACATTTATATAAAGTAAATAAATGGCATTTAAATAATTTTAGTATGAAATTTTTCAAGACATGTTAATTGAAATTATCATGATAACAATAATTATAGAACTTTTTAATGTTCCGCTTAAAATATTTACTATCTAGATTTCAATTTCCGATTGAGATTTAGACAGAAACACAGATCAATAACAGTGTCTGATGATATTTAAATTAAATACAGTAGAGCATCGTTTATCCGAACCAATTGGGGACTGGGGTTGTTCGGATAACTTATTTTTCGGATAACTGATTATGTACGAAAAAATACATTAACCTATCCCTTGTTGAAATTTTTCTCCGTTGTGTGTCGCTTCGCGTTGAATTTTCGTCAATGTTAAGCCTAATGTAAACTTTTTAAAATAATAATAGTGGCTATTGTATCGTTAAAAATTATTTCTTTCTTTTTTACAAACAAAATAAATATATTGAAAAATATAAAAACAAAAAAAATTTATACTTTAGAAGTTATCTAGTATCAAAAACGTTCGATTCAGCATGATACAGTCCTCAGAAAAACACTATACAAAAGTGACAGTGCTGCCAGCTAAAACACATACACAAACATAAAAAATATTGGAGTAGCCATTGGATATAACCAAAGATTGCAGTGCCACAGCACTAGCGAAAATTTAAATTTGCCGACTGGAATTCTTTCGGATAAACGACGCTCTACCGTATTTACATATTTATGTGAACTCAATTGCATTATGACTAAGTTATTTATATCATGTTATGTATTGCATGCTGACATTTCATTGTAACAGAATATTTGCTTCAACTAACTCAGCTCTTCAAACTGCTTTAGTTGAAGTTACTTTGAACTATTTAAGTATTGTTGGAATATAAACTCATCATTGAACAAGTGAAAGGATTGATGTAAGAAGGCACCAGATAATAATAATAACTAACAGCATTTCATACTTGAATGTAAATACATAAAACAAGTGCATCTTTATATCTGCTTTCTTTGCAATACAAACATGTAACAACAAAATAAAGTTTTGATGTTACACGTTGATTTTATTTTATTGATGTTATTTTATTTTATTTTAGAAATAAAATAAAATAAAACTTTATTTCTAAATAAAGTTTTTTTAGAAATGCTTACATTTCTAAAAAAACTTTTTACTCAAAAAGTAGTTTGAATTCAAATAAAATCATTTTGATGAAATTATTATTTGAATTTTTTAACTTTAACACTTTGCCATTTTGAATGTTTAATTAGTATTTAAAGTTTATATGTAGTTGAGTCATTAAATATTTGGACTCATGGATGGAGAAACAGAAAACTATTAAACTTTTACTAATAAAAAGCATTATTATATACATTTATTTTTCAACATACGAGTCATTTTGCTCTACACACTTTCTCCAATGGCAGACAAGATCTTCAAATGCCTTTTGATGAATGCTAGAGGAAGACTGCTCAAAAATTTGGTCACTTCCTTCAGTTTTGAACAGCATCTGCTACTTGAAACTAGTAAGGTCTGCAAACTGCATAGGAAATGAAAAGGAGTTCTTTTTGTTTTTCGTTCACAGCAATGCACCCTTTCACACTGTCACAAAAGTGACAGTTGAATAATGTGATTTTAAGAACTTCCACACCTAAACAGTCTTGATCTCTCTTCTAGTGATTTTACTTTTTTTGAGAGTTGAAATACACCTGGTTGGACAACACTTCTTGTCGGTTGAAGTGAAGGAAAAAGTGGCCAAATTTCTGAGCAACCTTTCTTCAACATTCTTCAAAAGGCAATTGAAGATATTGTCTACCACTGGAGAAAGTGTGTAGAACAAACTGACTTGTATATTGAAAAGTAAATGTATATAATGATGCCTTTTATTATTGAAAAGTTTTCTATTTCTCCATATATGTGAATCCAAAGGCTTATTTACTCAACTATGTAATTTCAAATTAGAAATTAAATAATATATTTTAGTTTGATTGATTAATGTTTTGATAAATTAACGAATTGTTTAATTTATTATAATATTAATTAAAACTTGATTTTAATTAATATTAATTTATTTCCATTATTTTATTTCAATACTTATATTACAGGTAGATGGTATGGATATTTTAGCTGTAAGAGAAGCAACTTTCTTTGGTGCAGAGTTATGTAGATCTGGAAAGGGTCCGCTAGTCATGGAAGTTGCAACTTACCGTTACCACGGTCACAGTATGAGTGATCCTGGAACCAGGTGGAACATATTAAATTAATATCTGTTATATTTAAAATCCTGATTTGATTTAAAATTGGCAGAAATTTCTTTTTAGCAAACAAATGAGACAATTTAATGAAAATGTTCAAATTAAAAAGTCAATAAATAATTATTAAAATAATAAATAAAAACTAAGAACCATTTAATGTGTTTGTAATATTAAATGATAAAATCTAACTTTGTCATTTTTAAATGAATATACAACAATTTTATGTTCATTAATTTTATTTTTTACTTAATTCATATTAATTATATTATTTATTTGATGATGTAATAATATATTATAATAAAAAGAAAATAATTCATGTGTCAAAATATTTTACATTTTAATAGTTATCGAACCAGAGAAGAAATTCAAGAAGTGAGACAAACTCGTGATCCGATCACTTCTTTTAGAGAAAAAATAATTACTGCCAATCTTGTCACCAGTGAGGAATTAAAGGTAGTGTATTTTTTATCTGTCTACTAACTATATATTTTGTATTAACATTTTTATCAAATACAGGTAATATTCGTATTTCATTATTTCAATACATAACTTAAGGAATTAGGAAAATTGCATTATCTATAACTATTAATTCTAAGTTTCTAATTTTACTTATTTTCTTTTAATGTAGCAGTCTTCAGTAATTGTTTAGAAACATTTACTAATATATTCTATTGAGAATTTCTACATTGTTGACATCCAGATAATCTTTATAAGAATTTATTTAAAATCAACACAACTTTTATTATATATATAAACTAACTTATATAAAACACAATTACATATTTTTTCAATTGGCTGTTAATTATCATGACCACAAATGATTTTAGGGTGACTGTTTTATCATTTCAATTTTATTTACTCTAATATGCATTTTGGATGTATACATTCATCCCTCTTCAGTTGGGTACAATATTCTTATTCTTACAATTAGTTATTTCCAGGGTGATATTCAGCGGGTTCACACAGGTTCGGCCGAACCCGTTGTTAACATTTTCAAAGTTTTCCGAACCTTGTTGAACACATGTAACATTTCTCAGTGGTTTTGTTTCTTTTAAAAAGTATATTAAAATATACGTATTACACTCTGTAACACTACTAAACTAGAGCCTTATACCACGTTCACCTTAGTACGACCTCCCTCGACCGTTTCAATCTCGACTGAAACGAGGTTCAATCGCGATCCACTCAAGAGAGTTCTTGAACTAAATCCAGTCATAAGAGAGATCCCACAATCCCACGCGCGCGAGAAAATACAAGATGGCTGCGGAACACGTGTCGTAATAAAATACATATATACAAAACAAACCATTTTGAACACTTTTTTATTATTTATAAAAAAAAAATATAGCTCTGGCATAAACAATGTTAAATTTTAACTGGCTTAATTTGGTGAATGCATCTTTTTTGTTTATATGGGTATCTTAAGGTCAGTTTTTGCGCTAATTTTGCTGATGCACCATTTGAGCAAATAAAAATAAAAAAAATGTTAAGGAAAAATTTTGTTAGCGAACCCTTTGTTAAATATTTCGAATATCACCACTGGTTATTTCCTTTCTATTTCTATCACAGACCAACTTTTGCCCGTTAAAATATGGATGCAGACATCTTGTTATGTACCAAATGTATTGATTCTGGTTGGTCACTTTTGAATTGCTTCTGATTTTCATCAGCTGCAGTTGAAAATAGAGTACAATTTTTTGTTCTGGATATTCAAGTCTTCAATTGTTATCATGTGCAAACAATGGATCCAATGTAAATTACCACATTTTTCAAGGAAATCAGTGTGTTCACTCCAATTAACACTTAACATTGGTCAATTAAGCACTATTGTGAGTATAATTATCTTATGTATTGATAATAAAACAATTTTGCTAGTAATGTGAGAGGTTGAGGGTCCTAGTTGCTTTGGACCCCTATACAACTGCACAGGTTGCACAAATGATAGTTATGTCACTGATCTGAAATTAACAGAGAATTTTTGTAATTTAAACTTTGATCTAGACTAAAACCCAGTGTGACTAACCCAATGTGAACTTCTCTGCAACATCAATCTGCTATTCCTTCAACTAATTTTGTCAACTAAGTTACTTTTATTTTGATGAGATATGTTTTGAGATCTTATTATGTTAAAATAACCAAGTAAAAGTTTTGTTCAAGAAAAAAATTATATAAATTATATACAGTGTATAGGATAATAAAACAAAACAATACTCTTTACTCCAAGAAAATTCTGAAGAAACATTGCATTATGTGTTATGTTGCAGTTTATTTTCCCAGTAACTTCAGAATGGGGGTCAACATTGTTTTTAATATTTGGCATGAGAAATAGAAGGGGTTGAGTAAAGAATATGTCCTATCACATATGTGGCTGTGGCTGAAAACACATTTATTATTATTTATTGTTGTCACTCTTAAACAATTTTTAATCATTATATTTATTAATTTTTTAAATTGTTACTTAGAGTATATTAGCTGAAATTTATGACATTTCTTTAATACCATATCATTCATCAATATACAAAGTAAAGAAATATAAAATTGATAAAAAAATATATAGAAACCAATAGTGTACAAACTTCAAAGTTTGTTTTATAGGCTTTCTTTGTCCTTCAGATACAAATAAGCAGTAGTGATATTCAGCGGGTTCGCACAGGTTTGGCTGAACCCATTGTTAACATTTTCAAAGTTTTCAAAAATACATTAAAATATATGTATTATACTCTGTAACACTACTAAACTAGAGCCTTATACCCCATTCGCCTTGGTACGATCTCCATCGACTGTTTCAATCACGATCGATTCAAGAGAGTTCTTGAAACTAGATCCAGTTATAAGAGATATCCCACAATCCCACAAGCACGAGAAAATACAAGATGGCTGCGGAACATGTGTTGGGCTATATAATAAGATACGAATCCCATATCATATGGGTATCTTAAGATCAGTTTTTGCACTAATGTTGCTAATGCACCATTTGAGCAAAAAAAAATTGTTAAGGAAAAATTTTCTGTTAGCAAACCCTTTGCTGCAAATAAGGTATGTTACATGCTTACTATGAGCTTAGCCAAGCCTACAATTTGGCAGCTGGGTGTTAAGAGATAAATTTAATTTTTGGTTAGATCCTAATTAAAATAAACATTTTACTTACAAAAATATTTGTTTCTATTTCTACAGAAAATTGAACAGGATGTTCGTAAAGAAGTTGAAGAAGCTACAGAAGTAGCAAAATCATCTAAAGAAATTCCATTGGAAGAGATGTTTGCAGATATTTATGTAGAGCCTATAAAACAAAAAATCAGAGGAGTGACACCTTTTACAGAACATACACACAAAAGAATTTCAACACCATTGAATGCTAAGTGATTCAGATTAATTTAACTTTAATTAATTATGCAGAAGAAGAAAGAAAATATGTAATTAGAATGTAAAAGTTTTTTATCTTTAAAATGTCCAGATGGAAACTATTTAAAAATTGTTTCTATCTAATTAAAGTGTTATATATGTGAATTGTGTGTAATGTTAAATATTCTGAACTGACTTGAAAAGTTAAAGTTTTGGTTTCTCAGATTAAAATGTCTTACGAGTATTATAATTTAGAAATTTTAATTCCTAAAATTGATTACCTGAATTAAGATAAATCCTATAATAATAATTTAATTGCTAATTAAATGATATAGGATTTGTCCTAATACAATTAATGACCTTTGGTCTGTATCCCAATTCACCAGCAACCTTCTTAAAAAGTTGATAGTAATCATTTAATGTTCTCATCTAAGAATTTATTTTGTAATATACAAACAATTATCTTTGTTATGAAACTGGCCCATTTCCAAAAACACAATTTAATCAAAAATAAGTATTTATTTAGAAACATTTCCAGCATGATAATTGCCTTTGAGTTTCTTGGATTTGGCTCACTTATTAAAAAAAAATACTATTTGATTTGTTGGTGTGAGATAGCAGTCTTCAAATTTTTTCCATTATGAGGGAGTGTAATTTGCAGTGGATTAGCTTTTATATATCCTGGATCCAGACCACCATAAGAGTTCCTACTCAGCCAAATTACAAAATCTGCTATTCTGAAGGGATCCATTCTGAAGTCTAATTTAGGAATACAGTATGTTTTAAAAATTCAAAATAACTTTGAATATTTTAACCCCAAACACAGCTTGAAGTAAACAAATACATGCTATTAATTAAACTTTACTAAAACTCTAATCTCAATAATTTTTTTATTTAAATATAAGGGTTTTATTCTGTAAGTTTATTAAAAACAGTATAAGATATTGTATGTGAGAGTTTAAATAAATTGAGTCTGGGAAGCTTACATTTTATTTGTAATCAGGGTCACATTACAGCTTCATGGAGCCTGGGAAAATTGAATTAGGGGTCCCATTCACTGTTTGTTTCAAATTTTTTTAGTGTCTTCGTTTGTTTTTTAGAGTGACCTCTGGCTTATTAAATTCTGAATTGTGCCGGTGCATCCTGCTCTTGCGCCACACCAGCAATGTAGTGCCCTAGATTTAAATTTCGATATTCTTACTACAGTAATGAGTTAAAAAAAGATTGGTTTGTGGGTGCCCCAGACAAATTGACCTTTTTGCCCATATATACAGGATAATGTGCCACTGTTTTTAAGGTGCAGTGTCTTTTTAATTTAGTAATTTCTGTATGGCTTTACTTTTGTATCTGTGGGGAATAATGTATATCAGCAAAATAGTAAAGAAATAGGATATTACAATTTTTAAAATGTAAAAGTTTCTTACAATATCCCATTCCTAAACTTAAACTATTAAGCTATTTATATACAGTATAAAATAATGAATACAACCCGATTCTTAATCCAGCTGAACTAAGTGTTTCTCAACATGGGAGGCACGCCCCACCAAGGGACAATTTGAATGCTTTAGGGTCGATGAGCAAATAATTAATATTTGTTGCATTTTCACTTCAGTTCTATATATAGTCATATATATATATATTCTGAACTTTACTGTTTTTTCATATTGCTTCATATTATTATTATTAACCATTTCTTGAGAATTTTTTACTCAGTACTTGAACTGTCCTTTCCTTTTATTTTCTTATTCAAAGATGCTATGTTTTTTTTTTCACATCAGGATTTTAAAGATGCTTTGGTGGGGCATGGCCAAAAAGATTGAGAAACACTGGGCTAGACGATTACTACGCAATTTGGCACGGGACAGGCCGCCATTTCTTGTTAAATACATTAAATAAATTAATTTAAAATTTAGAATATTGTGGAAGAAAAGAGTAGCCCGAAACTGGACTCGAATCCGAATCTTCTGCCCTGGTGGCCTGCCTGATGCCAAGTTATCATTTAGCCTTATAGCCCGATAAAGTATCCGTCTGTTCGTTTGATATTTATAATAAGCAATAAAAAGAAAAAAATACACACCTTTTTCGAAGATGTTACATTAATTGGAGAACGATTTTCTATTACGCTTAATGCAAGTGATTTTCATAATTTGAAAGCAGACGAACTACTCGTTACGGCAGCGCCCTCTTCCACTTTCAATCATTATTCATTCCGATAATGTAAATTATATGAATAATTTAAAAAATTGGATTCTATAATGCTTTTTAAATTAACTTAAATGCATTGCCGATAAAAAATTTAAGTGTATTCATAAAATTTATTTCCAAGATTTAGTTTATTCCAAAATTTAAAATATTCAGCGGCTCCCCGTTCCTCACCAACTGGCCGCCTTATAGTGGGTCTAGCCCAGGGGTCGGCAGTTTGACAAGTGAGAAGATCCAAATTGTCATGAAAACAGGATAACAAAAGTACCAGAGAGCCGCATATTAATTTAAATGTGNGCGGGAAATTTGAAAATTGAAATCCGAGATCACGCGCGCCATAGTGCCGATTCGGCACCAATAATTAAATAAAAATAATGAGACGCTTTAAGCAAAAACTGAATTGCGCATAGTAAAATTGAAGAAAAATTAGACAGGTAATAATTTTTTCAGATTTTTCACACAATTAGGATTTTTACACGAACTAATTAAAAATCGATTGGTGCCTAATCGGCACTAGGCGCGTGCCGACGGGTTAAGGGAAACTGGCCTCTATTTAGGCGTTACAGACGTGGAGAAAACCCGGAAAACTTCACTTGACCAGCCCATTCGAGCGAGGCTTGAACCCTCAACCGAACTCCCAGTATTCAGGGAATGGAACCATTTGGTCACTGGTGGGCACAAGAGATTCAGCTCGTCCAGTGTTTGATACACTGTTGTGGCATAATTCCGAACGTTAAACAGTAATTTTCCGTTTGTCCTTGCACTGTATCGTCACGTAATGCATGTTCTTAATTATAGTTCGGAACTATTGGACACAATGTTAAGGCAAACAGAATAAAATAATTGATATTGTTATAAAAATTGTTATGTCGATATTACATGTTTCATTAAGTAATGACACTATTACTTACCCTGTTGTTATACATAACATGTCTATTGGTCAAAAAATGACTCTTAGGATTTCTAAATTTTTGAACCCGGGGACCTTGAAATATCAAGAATTGCCAAAATAAAAAACATTTGAAATATTTTCCTGTATTTGTATTTGTGCGTGTGTGTATGGGGAATATGATTTTGTTCACCCTGTTTGAAGCTTAACCACTCAGCCATACGGTCGTCGCACAGCGTAAGATTTCGCGAATCTAGCGGGACAAAATTATTTTAAAAATGGAACAATTTAGTGGCCTCACTGCAAAGAGAATCACTATCATTTTCTCGTGTGTTTGTTGTTGTTATTTGGATATTTGGAACATGTATCGGCTTCATTACCTCAGGATTAATAACTACTCTTTTATGCTTTTCTTGTTTTCTTCTTGTAGATGTAATTACTGGGTCTGACGTTATCAAAAGATGTAGTAAATCTTTATTTGCTTGAATTCTTGACACTTTTGCGTGTTCTAGATGCAGTTTCCGGAATTCCTATGCTGCTTCAGATATCTGTCCAATTGGCAGCAAAAAGTATTGTAGTACTTCTGGACCACGTACAGGTAACCCCCGTATAACACGGCACTTCTATAGCACGGATTCGCTCTAACACGGTTCGAGAATTGGTACCATCCCCGTATAACACGGTACTTTTATAGCACGGATTCACTCTGACACGGTTCGAGAATTGGGTAAAACCCTCATACAACAGGAAATGTAATAAATTTTTACATACTTAACTAATAATAGTTCACGAAAATTACTATTTTCGTGAACTATTAGTACTTAAGTATGTAAATTTTCTCTTCTCGCCTTCTGTCGATACAGGTGGTCCTTCTCGAANTAGTATAATTAGTTATACATTATTAATACATAATTAATTATAATAGATTAATCAATTTATTTTTCAATGTCAATAAATATGGGATTACCAAAGTGTTAGTTAATATTATATAAGTTTTTCTGAACAGTTTTAACTATTCTTATAATGTTGAAGTGTATTTTCTCTAATTCTAAGACCACCATGTTTTTTCACACTGAAATTTGCTTTGCTCTAATTACAATCTTACAATCTTAAATGAAGTATTCAAATATTTTAAAATAAAAACTTAACCATTTGTTCACACACTTTAAGGACGAGAAGCAGGATGTGCCAGAGGTAAAGGAGGCTCAATGCATATGTATTCATCTAACTTCTTTGGAGGAAATGGAATTGTAGGTGCTCAGGTGAGTTCAGTTTTTATGATGTATTATTAAATTCCTTGATTACAAAAATATTTCACTAGTTTCAGTTAGTTTTATATGAATAGTTTATTCAACTTTTGAAAGGAGAGAGAATTCATAATTATAAGTTTAAAAGTTAATCATAATTTGAGCATAATATGAGGTTTGATATTTTTTGAAAAAATGTGGGTATGCAAAAATTAAATTGTCAGCCTGTTGGCTGAGGCTGTAAACATTTTAGACTGCTGTTTTGGAGATCCGGGACCCAAAATGGCAAACCCACAAAAATTTTCACAGATGGTCTGACTTGGCTATATTGGGCCTCCCCTCACCACCTGACTACTTCATTACAGGCCTGAATGAATCTAAGATATACAGGATCTTCAGAATGAATGCTACATTTTAAAATTATTGTAATTGTATAATTGTGTTAATTATTATCTGAGAAGTAAACAACATACACCAATTAATACAGTAACCATCTGAGTTTCATCTCCCATCTGCATTTGAACATCTTGTTGTCCACTACTTCTAGGAAGCTCTGTAAATGAAAATGACAACTCCATAACAGAGAAGGCTTTTTGTGTTCTGCAGTTTGCATAGTCTGAATCACTTGCCATTGGACAATATGAGTAACCTATGGGAGCCATAGAATTGTGGCTGCCATGGGAAGAGTGACAATGGATGTGCTAAAATGAGCATAGGAATCATTTGAGTTCTTGGATAATAATTAACCAAATTAACATAAATACAATAATTTAAAATGTTAGCATTCTTTTTGGAAGGAAAGACTCTCTTAATGCCTACAAGATGGAGAGAGTTTAAAAAAAAAATATTCTTGAAACTACATTTATTGAAATTTTGTTTTCTAATTTTTGTGTAATATTATATCTGTTTCAAATTTTATCTAATATCAAAATGCAGATTTTTTGAATTACTTTAGAAACGATTGAGAGTATTTCTATTAAACCATAATAAAGCATTAGATGTTGCCTATTTTTACATTTCAATATCATTTATGCTATTGTTGCAATTTTCATCATAGCACACTAAAGAATTTATAATGTTGCACCTATAACATTGATATATTTATACCTGATTTTTTAATAAAATTTGAAATTTAATACTTGATATTTGGTAATTTGTAAATAATTTCATAATTTAAAACATGCATTGTATTCTTAGGTACCATTAGGTGCAGGAATTGCATTTGGTTTAAAATATCTTGATAAAGATGACATATGCCTTGCATTATATGGAGATGGTGCTGCAAATCAAGGCCAAGTTTTTGAAGCGTATAATATTGCTAAATTATGGAATCTCCCTGTAATATTTATATGTGAAAATAATGGTTATGGAATGGGAACGAGTGCTGATAGGGCTGCAGCTTCCACGGATTATTATACTAGAGGTGATTACATACCAGGTATTTGGGTAAGTTAGTTATGTTTTTTTTAGTAGTTTGAATAATGTCAAGTGTCAAGTGAATTTTATTCACTTCACACTTCGAGAAATTAGTAATATATAATTACTTTCCAAGTCAGAGATTCAAGAAATGCTTTTGCAAGGCTACGTGCAAATCAAAACAGTGTAAATGCAAAGATTCAGGAATTTTTTGAATTAGTAAATGACATTCAAGTCTTGATTCAAAAAAATAGTGTTACATTAACTTTAAATGAGGGGATTTTTTTAAATTCGTTGTTGTTTTCAACATTGAACAAAATAATTGCTGATAATAATTTAATTGATTTTAAAAATATTTGACTTAAATAAAGTAATTGTTTCTCTTTTTGTGTTTTTGTTGAAATTTGCAATATATAACATTATCTGAACCTTGGTGGATAGTGTCGAGGTTGATAGAGTTTAAAATTAAATTCTTTCTTTCATATTTTGATGTTCACCTGACTTGAATAAGGTTGACATTACCTGGGTAATCTCAATATTACCCAAATTTTGCATGCTACTCTTAACATTTATTTTAAAAATAGAAACTGTGAATATGGAAATTCAGACACGTGTGATGAAACCTTTAAAAACAGCAAAAACAATTTACAGTTGATGCCCCCATAACACTGTTTATTATTCCGTTTTATATGAATTCCATGTTGTACGAGTCACTTAGATTTTACAAATACGTGAGTCATTCACAGCCCGGCAAACGTATTTGTAAAATCTAAGTGACTCATACAACATGGAATTCATATAAAACGGAATAATCAACACTGTTATAGGGGGGGTCGACTGTAATTCTGAATGTTTTCAATTATTTTTAAACAACATCCTCAGGTAGAATACAAATCAAACTTACAAGTTAGTGAAAATAGAATATAACAGATAATTTTTGCTAAATTTGATTTTGTATTCTACCTGAGGATGGTCTTTAAAAATGACCGAAAGTGTTTGTAATTAAATTGTTTTTGTTGTTTTAAAGCTTTCATGAGTGTCTGAACATTTATATAAAGTAAATAAATGGCATTTAAATAATTTTAGTATGAAATTTTTCAAGACATGTTAATTGAAATTATCATGATAACAATAATTATAGAACTTTTTAATGTTCCGCTTAAAATATTTACTATCTAGATTTCAATTTCCGATTGAGATTTAGACAGAAACACAGATCAATAACAGTGTCTGATGATATTTAAATTAAATACAGTAGAGCATCGTTTATCCGAACCAATTGGGGACTGGGGTTGTTCGGATAACTTATTTTTCGGATAACTGATTATGTACGAAAAAATACATTAACCTATCCCTTGTTGAAATTTTTCTCCGTTGTGTGTCGCTTCGCGTTGAATTTTCGTCAATGTTAAGCCTAATGTAAACTTTTTAAAATAATAATAGTGGCTATTGTATCGTTAAAAATTATTTCTTTCTTTTTTACAAACAAAATAAATATATTGAAAAATATAAAAACAAAAAAAATTTATACTTTAGAAGTTATCTAGTATCAAAAACGTTCGATTCAGCATGATACAGTCCTCAGAAAAACACTATACAAAAGTGACAGTGCTGCCAGCTAAAACACATACACAAACATAAAAAATATTGGAGTAGCCATTGGATATAACCAAAGATTGCAGTGCCACAGCACTAGCGAAAATTTAAATTTGCCTACTGGAATTCTTTCGGATAAACGACGCTCTACCGTATTTACATATTTATGTGAACTCAATTGCATTATGACTAAGTTATTTATATCATGTTATGTATTGCATGCTGACATTTCATTGTAACAGAATATTTGCTTCAACTAACTCAGCTCTTCAAACTGCTTTAGTTGAAGTTACTTTGAACTATTTAAGTATTGTTGGAATATAAACTCATCATTGAACAAGTGAAAGGATTGATGTAAGAAGGCACCAGATAATAATAATAACTAACAGCATTTCATACTTGAATGTAAATACATAAAACAAGTGCATCTTTATATCTGCTTTCTTTGCAATACAAACATGTAACAACAAAATAAAGTTTTGATGTTACACGTTGATTTTATTTTATTGATGTTATTTTATTTTATTTTAGAAATAAAATAAAATAAAACTTTATTTCTAAATAAAGTTTTTTTAGAAATGCTTACATTTCTAAAAAAACTTTTTACTCAAAAAGTAGTTTGAATTCAAATAAAATCATTTTGATGAAATTATTATTTGAATTTTTTAACTTTAACACTTTGCCATTTTGAATGTTTAATTAGTATTTAAAGTTTATATGTAGTTGAGTCATTAAATATTTGGACTCATGGATGGAGAAACAGAAAACTATTAAACTTTTACTAATAAAAAGCATTATTATATACATTTATTTTTCAACATACGAGTCATTTTGCTCTACACACTTTCTCCAATGGCAGACAAGATCTTCAAATGCCTTTTGATGAATGCTAGAGGAAGACTGCTCAAAAATTTGGTCACTTCCTTCAGTTTTGAACAGCATCTGCTACTTGAAACTAGTAAGGTCTGCAAACTGCATAGGAAATGAAAAGGAGTTCTTTTTGTTTTTCGTTCACAGCAATGCACCCTTTCACACTGTCACAAAAGTGACAGTTGAATAATGTGATTTTAAGAACTTCCACACCTAAACAGTCTTGATCTCTCTTCTAGTGATTTTACTTTTTTTGAGAGTTGAAATACACCTGGTTGGACAACACTTCTTGTCGGTTGAAGTGAAGGAAAAAGTGGCCAAATTTCTGAGCAACCTTTCTTCAACATTCTTCAAAAGGCAATTGAAGATATTGTCTACCACTGGAGAAAGTGTGTAGAACAAACTGACTTGTATATTGAAAAGTAAATGTATATAATGATGCCTTTTATTATTGAAAAGTTTTCTATTTCTCCATATATGTGAATCCAAAGGCTTATTTACTCAACTATGTAATTTCAAATTAGAAATTAAATAATATATTTTAGTTTGATTGATTAATGTTTTGATAAATTAACGAATTGTTTAATTTATTATAATATTAATTAAAACTTGATTTTAATTAATATTAATTTATTTCCATTATTTTATTTCAATACTTATATTACAGGTAGATGGTATGGATATTTTAGCTGTAAGAGAAGCAACTTTCTTTGGTGCAGAGTTATGTAGATCTGGAAAGGGTCCGCTAGTCATGGAAGTTGCAACTTACCGTTACCACGGTCACAGTATGAGTGATCCTGGAACCAGGTGGAACATATTAAATTAATATCTGTTATATTTAAAATCCTGATTTGATTTAAAATTGGCAGAAATTTCTTTTTAGCAAACAAATGAGACAATTTAATGAAAATGTTCAAATTAAAAAGTCAATAAATAATTATTAAAATAATAAATAAAAACTAAGAACCATTTAATGTGTTTGTAATATTAAATGATAAAATCTAACTTTGTCATTTTTAAATGAATATACAACAATTTTATGTTCATTAATTTTATTTTTTACTTAATTCATATTAATTATATTATTTATTTGATGATGTAATAATATATTATAATAAAAAGAAAATAATTCATGTGTCAAAATATTTTACATTTTAATAGTTATCGAACCAGAGAAGAAATTCAAGAAGTGAGACAAACTCGTGATCCGATCACTTCTTTTAGAGAAAAAATAATTACTGCCAATCTTGTCACCAGTGAGGAATTAAAGGTAGTGTATTTTTTATCTGTCTACTAACTATATATTTTGTATTAACATTTTTATCAAATACAGGTAATATTCGTATTTCATTATTTCAATACATAACTTAAGGAATTAGGAAAATTGCATTATCTATAACTATTAATTCTAAGTTTCTAATTTTACTTATTTTCTTTTAATGTAGCAGTCTTCAGTAATTGTTTAGAAACATTTACTAATATATTCTATTGAGAATTTCTACATTGTTGACATCCAGATAATCTTTATAAGAATTTATTTAAAATCAACACAACTTTTATTATATATATAAACTAACTTATATAAAACACAATTACATATTTTTTCAATTGGCTGTTAATTATCATGACCACAAATGATTTTAGGGTGACTGTTTTATCATTTCAATTTTATTTACTCTAATATGCATTTTGGATGTATACATTCATCCCTCTTCAGTTGGGTACAATATTCTTATTCTTACAATTAGTTATTTCCAGGGTGATATTCAGCGGGTTCACACAGGTTCGGCCGAACCCGTTGTTAACATTTTCAAAGTTTTCCGAACCTTGTTGAACACATGTAACATTTCTCAGTGGTTTTGTTTCTTTTAAAAAGTATATTAAAATATACGTATTACACTCTGTAACACTACTAAACTAGAGCCTTATACCACGTTCACCTTAGTACGACCTCCCTCGACCGTTTCAATCTCGACTGAAACGAGGTTCAATCGCGATCCACTCAAGAGAGTTCTTGAACTAAATCCAGTCATAAGAGAGATCCCACAATCCCACGCGCGCGAGAAAATACAAGATGGCTGCGGAACACGTGTCGTAATAAAATACATATATACAAAACAAACCATTTTGAACACTTTTTTATTATTTATAAAAAAAAAATATAGCTCTGGCATAAACAATGTTAAATTTTAACTGGCTTAATTTGGTGAATGCATCTTTTTTGTTTATATGGGTATCTTAAGGTCAGTTTTTGCGCTAATTTTGCTGATGCACCATTTGAGCAAATAAAAATAAAAAAAATGTTAAGGAAAAATTTTGTTAGCGAACCCTTTGTTAAATATTTCGAATATCACCACTGGTTATTTCCTTTCTATTTCTATCACAGACCAACTTTTGCCCGTTAAAATATGGATGCAGACATCTTGTTATGTACCAAATGTATTGATTCTGGTTGGTCACTTTTGAATTGCTTCTGATTTTCATCAGCTGCAGTTGAAAATAGAGTACAATTTTTTGTTCTGGATATTCAAGTCTTCAATTGTTATCATGTGCAAACAATGGATCCAATGTAAATTACCACATTTTTCAAGGAAATCAGTGTGTTCACTCCAATTAACACTTAACATTGGTCAATTAAGCACTATTGTGAGTATAATTATCTTATGTATTGATAATAAAACAATTTTGCTAGTAATGTGAGAGGTTGAGGGTCCTAGTTGCTTTGGACCCCTATACAACTGCACAGGTTGCACAAATGATAGTTATGTCACTGATCTGAAATTAACAGAGAATTTTTGTAATTTAAACTTTGATCTAGACTAAAACCCAGTGTGACTAACCCAATGTGAACTTCTCTGCAACATCAATCTGCTATTCCTTCAACTAATTTTGTCAACTAAGTTACTTTTATTTTGATGAGATATGTTTTGAGATCTTATTATGTTAAAATAACCAAGTAAAAGTTTTGTTCAAGAAAAAAATTATATAAATTATATACAGTGTATAGGATAATAAAACAAAACAATACTCTTTACTCCAAGAAAATTCTGAAGAAACATTGCATTATGTGTTATGTTGCAGTTTATTTTCCCAGTAACTTCAGAATGGGGGTCAACATTATTTTTAATATTTGGCATGAGAAATAGAAGGGGTTGAGTAAAGAATATGTCCTATCACATATGTGGCTGTGGCTGAAAACACATTTATTATTATTTATTGTTGTCACTCTTAAACAATTTTTAATCATTATATTTATTAATTTTTTAAATTGTTACTTAGAGTATATTAGCTGAAATTTATGACATTTCTTTAATACCATATCATTCATCAATATACAAAGTAAAGAAATATAAAATTGATAAAAAAATATATAGAAACCAATAGTGTACAAACTTCAAAGTTTGTTTTATAGGCTTTCTTTGTCCTTCAGATACAAATAAGCAGTAGTGATATTCAGCGGGTTCGCACAGGTTTGGCTGAACCCATTGTTAACATTTTCAAAGTTTTCAAAAATACATTAAAATATATGTATTATACTCTGTAACACTACTAAACTAGAGCCTTATACCCCATTCGCCTTGGTACGATCTCCATCGACTGTTTCAATCACGATCGATTCAAGAGAGTTCTTGAAACTAGATCCAGTTATAAGAGATATCCCACAATCCCACAAGCACGAGAAAATACAAGATGGCTGCGGAACATGTGTTGGGCTATATAATAAGATACGAATCCCATATCATATGGGTATCTTAAGATCAGTTTTTGCACTAATGTTGCTAATGCACCATTTGAGCAAAAAAAAATTGTTAAGGAAAAATTTTCTGTTAGCAAACCCTTTGCTGCAAATAAGGTATGTTACATGCTTACTATGAGCTTAGCCAAGCCTACAATTTGGCAGCTGGGTGTTAAGAGATAAATTTAATTTTTGGTTAGATCCTAATTAAAATAAACATTTTACTTACAAAAATATTTGTTTCTATTTCTACAGAAAATTGAACAGGATGTTCGTAAAGAAGTTGAAGAAGCTACAGAAGTAGCAAAATCATCTAAAGAAATTCCATTGGAAGAGATGTTTGCAGATATTTATGTAGAGCCTATAAAACAAAAAATCAGAGGAGTGACACCTTTTACAGAACATACACACAAAAGAATTTCAACACCATTGAATGCTAAGTGATTCAGATTAATTTAACTTTAATTAATTATGCAGAAGAAGAAAGAAAATATGTAATTAGAATGTAAAAGTTTTTTATCTTTAAAATGTCCAGATGGAAACTATTTAAAAATTGTTTCTATCTAATTAAAGTGTTATATATGTGAATTGTGTGTAATGTTAAATATTCTGAACTGACTTGAAAAGTTAAAGTTTTGGTTTCTCAGATTAAAATGTCTTACGAGTATTATAATTTAGAAATTTTAATTCCTAAAATTGATTACCTGAATTAAGATAAATCCTATAATAATAATTTAATTGCTAATTAAATGATATAGGATTTGTCCTAATACAATTAATGACCTTTGGTCTGTATCCCAATTCACCAGCAACCTTCTTAAAAAGTTGATAGTAATCATTTAATGTTCTCATCTAAGAATTTATTTTGTAATATACAAACAATTATCTTTGTTATGAAACTGGCCCATTTCCAAAAACACAATTTAATCAAAAATAAGTATTTATTTAGAAACATTTCCAGCATGATAATTGCCTTTGAGTTTCTTGGATTTGGCTCACTTATTAAAAAAAAATACTATTTGATTTGTTGGTGTGAGATAGCAGTCTTCAAATTTTTTCCATTATGAGGGAGTGTAATTTGCAGTGGATTAGCTTTTATATATCCTGGATCCAGACCACCATAAGAGTTCCTACTCAGCCAAATTACAAAATCTGCTATTCTGAAGGGATCCATTCTGAAGTCTAATTTAGGAATACAGTATGTTTTAAAAATTCAAAATAACTTTGAATATTTTAACCCCAAACACAGCTTGAAGTAAACAAATACATGCTATTAATTAAACTTTACTAAAACTCTAATCTCAATAATTTTTTTATTTAAATATAAGGGTTTTATTCTGTAAGTTTATTAAAAACAGTATAAGATATTGTATGTGAGAGTTTAAATAAATTGAGTCTGGGAAGCTTACATTTTATTTGTAATCAGGGTCACATTACAGCTTCATGGAGCCTGGGAAAATTGAATTAGGGGTCCCATTCACTGTTTGTTTCAAATTTTTTTAGTGTCTTCGTTTGTTTTTTAGAGTGACCTCTGGCTTATTAAATTCTGAATTGTGCCGGTGCATCCTGCTCTTGCGCCACACCAGCAATGTAGTGCCCTAGATTTAAATTTCGATATTCTTACTACAGTAATGAGTTAAAAAAAGATTGGTTTGTGGGTGCCCCAGACAAATTGACCTTTTTGCCCATATATACAGGATAATGTGCCACTGTTTTTAAGGTGCAGTGTCTTTTTAATTTAGTAATTTCTGTATGGCTTTACTTTTGTATCTGTGGGGAATAATGTATATCAGCAAAATAGTAAAGAAATAGGATATTACAATTTTTAAAATGTAAAAGTTTCTTACAATATCCCATTCCTAAACTTAAACTATTAAGCTATTTATATACAGTATAAAATAATGAATACAACCCGATTCTTAATCCAGCTGAACTAAGTGTTTCTCAACATGGGAGGCACGCCCCACCAAGNATCACTTTAAAAATTTTTAATGAAGATATTTATCTTAATTATGAAAATATACTAGCATATTTTTTAATTTTTGGAACCTAAACCTCCTTTTCGTATTAGTTCTTTGTTTCGTATAACACGGATTCGCATAACACGGCAATTTTTTGGAACGTAACTACCGTGTTATACGGGGGTTACCTGTATAAGTATCTTGTGGAGGGTAACTGGCATTGGATATCAATTATACAAACATACAAATTTGCAGTCTCGTCAAAATACTCTTTAGAGACGTATATTTATCTCGTACTAGCAGGTAAAAGTGCGCAATATTACATGAAATCGCTCAATTAACCCGTTATATTAAAAGCCACATCAGCATTAAAAAAATCTAGCACTGTTGTCATCGTTAGTATTTCCTTCTTGCTTCGGAGTGTCCAACAATAGTCTCGCTTCTGATTTAAATCTATTATGAATTTCTAGCCGTGACATTTTTCTTCAGGCATAGGACACTGCTATTTCCGTACATCCAATCTGTACCTAATATGTAAAACACATTCCATCAATTTTAATTGCACATGTACATACCATAGATAAGCCCCAAGAAAATGTTTGATCATTACTATTACGTCGTCGAACCATTTTTAAATCATTCATATCTTTCGATGTTGCTTGACAAATGTAGTATTTTAGACCTATTTTGCCATCATATCATATCATCGTATTTCAACATTTCGTATAATTCTTGTCTCGACACTTTCAAGACGGTACCTGTAAAAAGTTCATTATTTTGCAAAATCACATTTTATTGCATTCAAAGTTTCATTGTACGAGGTATATAGATCTTCAGGATTATAAAAAAAATACAAAATCTTGACGTACAAAGTTAATACCTACAAAAATGCACAATACATAAGGAACATTTCACAAAATAATCTTGTTTCTCATTTTTCTTTTCTGATTTACTCTATCTTATGGGCTAGAATCTATCCTAAGGACTGAGCTGTAGAATTATCAAGCCGTGCACCAACAAAGGATTTGAGGATCCGACTGTTAAAATGTAGGCTATGAATAGAATCTGGCGAGCTTAACTAGCCCATATATCTGGAGGTTCGGACGCAGCAGCCCATCAATGGCAAAGTGGATAAAACCACTGAACACTGGTAGACAGTCATGGGTTCGCGACCGGTCACGTGGAGTTTTCCGGATTTTCTTTATGTTTGTAACACCTAAATAGGGGCCAATTTACTATAAAAAATCTCCCAGAAAGCATTCCTCCTCAGGAGATCGCGTTGCCATATACGAGTAAACCGAAACCATTCAACACAATTACCTTTCTTTAGTTAATGGTAAACATTCTGCTTGCATTTGACATAAATTCATTTTTATATTTTTTTACAATACATATTTTTGCGATTTTTTGTTTACCTCGTTTAAATTTTATTTTGAATCGATAAAAAAAACTGGCAAGGGTTCTCAGGAACTCGAAACGAAGATTAAGGGGACTGGAAGAAAGTCCGATAATTTTCAATTATACTAGGATATAAAATTTAAGTAATAAGAAAAGCTTAAAAGGAGTAATTTGAAGTACTATAAAAAGAACCCCATTTAAGAAACATTATGTGGGGACCATCTGTTACGAGATATTAAAAAATAACTTTTATATTATTAATGATTAAAAGAATGGCTTAATCTTGATGGTTGAGATGAGTTTATAAAAGTATTGTAAATGCTGATAATGAGTAAAATTTTCATTAAGTACAACACCACTCGAGATACATAAAACATCTATTAATATAATTTTAAATTTAGTAATATTATAATGCTCCAGTTAACACCGAATAAAATGTGGCATGTCCAGTTATATGCAGATTATCACCACAAAATATCTTAACTCCTATCATAGAAACCTCTTATTGGGCTACTGAAAAACAAATACACCGACATAAAAGTTGTGGCATTCTCTACATTACATTATCACTATCAATAAGACACTTTCAATGCAAGGATGTTCTATTGATAAATTTCTAGGAATGTTGTTATAGGCAAGATGGCAACTTTCTCCAGCAAATCATTATAGGTGACAAGATGCAATTTCACTATTTCACACTCACCTGAAAGGACACCACAGCAAAGTGGAAACAAACCTTTCCATCAATATCTCCTGTACGGCCCAAATTTGGTCCCTTCTGAACTTCACATTTTTTCTTTTTATGATGACATTTGCTAATGATGAATGAGCAAAACTGTCATCACTGGATGGCTACAGCAACAGGAATAGGAATTTGTTGAAAAACAGTCAAACAAACTGATCACATTTCAATAGATGCCGAAACAGGCTAGGTGATTTTTGTAAATAAACAGCATATTGCTTGAAGATCCTGTATGTTTTTGTTTTCACAATAAGAATATCTGTCAGTGTTATTGGCTTTTAAGGCTGCGTACACACTAGGCATTTTGCGTTGCGTTAAACGCGCGTTAGCAGCGTAGACACCAGGCATTAGCTCGGTGTTAGACGAGCGTTTAGTGGAGCATATGCACTGGCTCAGTTTGGGAATGGACGTGAAAGTAATTGCTCGTGTGCCCCTCCTCCATCGTCGCTATAAAAGACGATGGCAGAGGCAAAGAGAATTTTGGGTGCACCCAATATTACGAGATAGACTGACACATGAAATGTTTGCAACGTTGTATCCAAAACTAAGAGAAAATAAACCCAAGTTTTTTAATTCTTTTAAAATATCTATAAAATCCTTTGACAATGGTTGGTCTCTTTTAGATTTCATCAATAAATAGATCAGTATCGAAATGATCGTTCTCCATTTCGGCCAACGTACGTTCACTCTACCCGAAAACGTGCGATCAAATGTACAGTAAAATGGCAGCACATATATCTCAAAGCGCCCGCAAAACGCACGTTTTAAGAAAAATCTATAAACGCGCGTTTGAGTGTGTACGCCTATGCAGAACTCTTGGTTTGTCAAACGCGCGTTTAAAAACACCTAGTGTGTATGCAGCCTTAAAGTTGCCCATCGATGGCCAAGTGGATAAAATCACCAAACAGTAATAGCTGGTTATAGATTCTTGCCTCACTGACAAGCCTGCTATGTGGAGTTTTCTGGGTTTTATTCACATTTGTAATGCCTAAATAGGGGACAGTTTCCCATAAGTCCTCCTGGGAGGCAACCCCTCTTGGCAAATTGTTCATGTGTTGCATTGCCATATACAAATAAACCAAACCTTTGTAAAGTAATTTCATGATCTCCCCCACATATATTATATGTTTTGCCTGAAACAAAATTCTTGTAAGCACCCTTCTTCCAATAAAATGGATAGTTGATAGTCAAGTCTCAGATAATAGAAAAGCTTAGCTTAATAAAAATATAAATAANGTTTGTTTTATAGGCTTTCTTTGTCCTTCAGATACAAATAAGCAGTAGTGATATTCAGCGGGTTTGCACAGGTTTGGCTGAACCCATTGTTAACATTTTCAAAGTTTTCAAAAATACATTAAAATATATGTATTATACTCTGTAACACTACTAAACTAGAGCCTTATACCCCATTCGCCTTGGTACGATCTCCATCGACTGTTTCAATCACGATCGATTCAAGAGAGTTCTTGAAACTAGATCCAGTTATA